AATTTTTTCAAATCCTGAAGGCAACTATAACTGACAGAGATGATGAATTTTTTATTAATAAAAATCAAATATGGTTTTTAAAAAAAATATATTTTTTATCAATTGTTTTATTGAAAATTCTTTAAGGGAATTTCAATTGTTGGTTTTTACCTATATTAATTTTATACATATGTACATATATGTGAATGAAATGTAAAATATCTTTATAAAATTGATAATTAAATTATTTGGTCAAATTTTGAATATTGCTTTTTTTACAAATTCCACATACATATATCAGATTTAAAGATTGAGATAAAATTTTGCAGATAAAATTAAAAACTACAAATTTTTTACAACCTCTCATCTTACATAAAAGATTTACAACACAAAAAAAAATAAAAAATTGAACACATGTATTAGCAGATTTGAGTTTCTCTAAAATCAAGATAAACATATTAAGTGTCTTCAGATAGTATCAGTTATATCATATACAACTTGATCTATAACCCTTTTGTATATATAATATTAGAATATTTGTGTTCATATATACGCACATATATTTTCCTAATTGAATATTTATGAATTTTCGATATTAATTTTTACCACCTCCTTTTTTATTTTTCGTCGTTTTGAATTAATTGTGAATTAATATACGCTTCTTCTCTATAAAAATTACTATATGTATGTGTATATAATGTATTAGCACTCTAATAATCATATACACATACAGACATTATGCACGCCTTTATGTTGCAAGCTTATATACTTTGTACTGCCTTGACTGGTTATAATATGTTTATTTATACATGCATTTATATACATACATATATTTTAATATAATATCCTTTAGCAAAAAAAAAAATAATATCGATAGGTAATATAAAAAATACCAAACCTACATGGGTGATCCATATATAATTTGAAACTAAGATCAATATTTATTTTAACATTAAATTTTATTTTCTTTGTTTTTTTTTTTTTCTATATTTCTTCAGTTTATAACGTATACATACTTAATTCGTGCAGCATTCTGTAATGGTACAGCGCCAATGATGCACGGACGCATTTTATCAAATATTTCATATTTATAGCCTTATAAATTGTATACGTAAACCTAATACAATATACGTACATACATATTATAATGTTATTAACACCCAAGTTATACGATGATGAAAATATTTTAAAAATTATCACATTAAAATTATTATTAAGTCTACACTTTTTTGAATTTCTAATAAAACCTTGAGGTACACAATATAAGGTACATATAGTAAGTATGTATGTGCGTATTTTTGGTTTCACATCTTTTAAGAAATTGATTTTAATTTTTTTTTTTTGTGTCTAGCGGCCTCTATTTTTTTTTTATTAATTGTTAACTAAACAAATATTAAATTTAACAGAAAAAAATAGAGTGTGTACTTATTTTCTTTTCTGTAAAGAAAAATTGATTTTTAAAGAGATTTTCAAGAAATTTTCAAAATGAAATTCCTATGAAAAAAAGAAACCAAAATGAAAAAGTCAAAATCAAAAATTATATCGCAGGAAATTGAAATTCTATAACACTCCACCCAAAAAAAAAAAAAAATAATTAAACAAAAAAATTAAAACAAAAACGAAAAGATCTCCTCAAGCATAGATGAAGAACGCTCATGTATACTCCAAAATTTATGTATGACGTTCTTACTTTAAAATTACAATATGAATTTTACAAAACACTTAATCCCTTTTATTCCATATTGAATAGAGCCTTATATCCACTTTAAGTTTTACCATTGTTATAATGCATAAATATGCCGTATTAGTACAATATGTATGTATACATATATACATGATGTACAACAAATTTTAAAAATTGTAGTACATGAGATAAAAGCAATACGAAAACAAAAAAGCATAATAACGCTTTCGGCAATTTCTTTTAAACGCATAATCCAAAAAGAAAAGCAAAATATACGCGTACCATACGAGTACACAAAAAAATAAGGTTTTCTTTTTGTTGTACAAAAAAATTAAATAAAAATTTGTAATAATAATTGAGGACAGAGTGTCCATTAAATACTTAATGTACATGTATGTGCATAAAATGAAATTTTGTATTCATAAAATTTCCATAATTATTTAATTTTTTTTTGTAATAACGAATAAGCATGAATATAATTCTAAAATTTTGGTGCAGCCTTCAAAAATGAATAGTTGATTTATTTTAACATTAATACGTTTTATGTTAAAAATTTAAACAAGGCATTTAGTAGAGACCTGAACTCTGCAGCGATAATCAACAAAGCACTGAAATTCACTGGAGAGCTTAAATTTGAGTTGAATGTGCTCAATATTAATTCTTTCGATTATATTAAAATACAAAATTGATCTTTCGAGATAAAAACTTTTGTATGAAAACTGTAATTTTATTTCTTCCATATATTTATTCCATATATATATAGATAAAGTCGGACCAGCTTATAACCACATCGAAAATTGCACGATTTTCGTTGCTTATGTCTGGTTTTTCTTATAAAGAACATCAGTTATAAGCACAACTTCTAATCATGAATGTGGCAAGACAATAATTTCAAAGAGATGTACAAATGAAATTTTGAGTAGGTAATTTGATTTAAGCTTATAAAAGTATAATTTATGGCAACTGTAATATCAGAATTGAGATTTAACTAAAAGTTTTTTTTTTTGCTCATAAAAGCATAGCAGTAAAAAGAAGGAAGAGGTAAATGCGATAAGTTTATTTGTATTTATTAGACGTTTTTGCTTGTAGACTGTGTTTTACTTAGATGCATAAGCGTGCAAATTACGAATAAAAGTAGAAAATGTAAAAAATCAATTTTGTTTTCTAAAAAAAAAAGAATTTTGCTTTCATGCGAGTTACTTATATACGGGTTCTACTGTACATAATTAAACATTGTAATAAAAATAAAAATTAATAAAAATAACGATATTCAACCAAAACTATAACCTTCTTTTTTGTACCTAATAAGTATAGATCATAGCAATAAAAATTTTTAAGTTAACAAATTCTTTTTTTCCGTGATAAAAATCAAAGAACTTAATATACAATATTTAGATACTTTGTTGCTAAACTATTCATAAAAAAATTTTAATAAAGCAATAATTTTTGTCCGTCTATATATACGCCTCAATTTTCATCTTAGAAAATTTATACGAAATATAATAAATTTTCTTAAATTTAAAAACTAAAAGAGAAAAAAATATAAAATAAATTTTGAGTTTGTTGATAAATTTTGTACATTTGTATGTTTACGTTTATACGATTTGAAAATGTTTTCACGAATAAAATAAAAATTTTAAAAGTATTTGTTACCAATTATTATTATTCGTCATTTTGATAACATAATAGTTTTGATGACTAGAAGAGTAATTCAATAATCTATTGTCAATTAAGCAGTTTAAATATGTGCATTTTGTGAAGTGGAATACGCCTTGGCCTTATGTGTTTTTGCGCTACTTCTAAAATAGATCGCTTATTTTGAAAGTCACTTAAATTCATTCTGAGACTTTTTTTTTTTTTACGAGCAATGATTAGCGTCAAGAACTGGAATCGAAAATAATAAGGTTGCAAATAGGAATAAATATAGAACCAATACATGGTCCGATAATCAGATTTTTTTAATTAATTGCAATTAATCATTTACGTAATTAAAATTAACTTAGGTCACTTTCAAAATGAACCATTATTGTTAAGCATATAGGTCACATATTGAAAGATAGAAAAATTGTTATCAATACTCTACACAATTAACTCGTAAGCAGATATTTTATAAGCAATAAATAATCAAAGTAGCTTAATGCTAAAGTTAACAATTTTTATACCCGTACGAACGTATGTTCGAAGGGTATACTAAATTTGCCTTACCGTTTGTAACGCTAAGAAATAACGGTGATAGATATAGACTCAAGTGTATGTTTTTGATCAGCGTCAAATTCTGAGTTGATTTAGCTTTGTCTGTCCGTCCGTCCGTCCGTCCGTCCGTCCGTCCGTCCGTCCGTCCGTCCGTCCGAACGATAACTCAAAAACTAATTGAGCTAAGTTCACCAAATTTTCACAAATGATTTATTGTAGTAAGTGCCAGAACCCTATTTAAATTGGACATGATCGGGGTACCGGTTCGGGTAGCTGCCATACAACTCCAAAATTTATTTGGCTATATCTCAGAAACTATAAAAGTTATGGTATTGAAATTTCACACAAACGAATATATTAGTAGGGCCAATATGCCACATAAAAGTCGTTGAAATTACTTGGCTCCTTCTGGTACCTGCCATACAACTTCAAAAATTATTTGGCTATATTTCAGAAACTATTAAAGCTATGGTATTGAAATTTCATACAAACGAATATATTAGTAGGGCCAATGTGTCACATAAAAGTCGTTGAAATTACTTGGCTCCTTCTGGTACCTGCCATACAACTTCAAAAGTTATTTGACTATATCTCAGAAACTATAAAAGCTGTGATATTGAGATTTCACACAAGTGAATATATTAGTAGGGCCGATGTGCTTGATAAAATTTGCTAAAATTTCTTGGCTCTTTCTGGTAGCTGCCATACAACATCAATAGTAGTTTGGCACAACCAGTATTTTGAAAAACACATAGTAATGAAATTTTGCATAAATTAATATGGTAATACGGCAACTTAAAGTCATAGTCTGCCCCATAGTTAGTTATGGCACATTAGTTATTCGCACATAGGATAACAAATTCGTACGGGTATCACAGAGTTGACAAGGTCAACTCTATTTTTTTTCTCGTTTTTATTAAATTAATTGAAAATAAACTTTTATAAAAAATCTGTGACAATTTTTTAAAATCTATTAAAAATAAAGTTTTTAGCTGCGAAATATGAATTTATGACACAAATATTTCTTATACGCATTAATTACAAGTTTATTTAATTATTTCTGTTATACACAAACTTCTACTATATGTATTCACATTAAATACTTAAATTACAAAATTTTCTTAAATTTTTTTTTTCATTACAGATTTTCATAAGGTTCATTGTACAGAAAATGAAATGTTAGTTGATATAGTTTTGGAAAATGATGATAATACCCCAAATATATATCTGGAAGGATTAAAAGGATATCCAAATGAAAAATGTCAACCAAATATTAATGAAACTTTAGCACAATTTAGATTATCATTAACTGATATTTATGAATGTGGTGTTACAAGAATGGTTAATAAAATTACGGTAAGGAAATAAAATCCACAATTATGTAATGTAACAATGTAATCTTTCAAGAAAATATTATAATTTAAACCGGTGTAAACCTAAAAACGAATGTAGTACTATACGAATATACACTGTTAATAAACAACCATATTGTCCGTATTAACAATTAATACAAACATTTTCATGTTAACATTCTCATAAGAGCTTCTTGTACAAAATAACAACGATGAGTTTTGTCAATCAATTTATGCTTTGTAACATCGAAACCAATGATAATAGCTCTGATAGCTTTAATGGTTTAATAAATAAAAATTTTTTGTTATAAAATTCCATAAGTTATCAGAACCAAAGTTCTGATCTTTGATTTTTTAATTTTTTTCGTTCTGGAAATTTGTGTAAGTTAATTTGCGATTCTGAAGTTGTTTGTACTATGTAACAAAGACGCATCGTAAAAAATTTAAACTGGCAGCATTTTCTAAAATTTTTTGTTTTTGACATTTCTGACAGTTTTTTCAAACTAAACATTTAAATTATTTTAAAATAGTCATACTTTTAAATGTTGCATGTATAATATTAAGGAGGCGATTATTGTTAATTTCGATTTTTATGCAGGTTAAGATTTAAATATTGCTCTTCCCCAGCAAACCATTTCGCTTGTCATAACCGAAGTTTGTAAGGCTATATAGATGAAAAATGATTTCCCATAAAAATAAAACTGGAAAGGAGCAAATTTCCGATATTCGATTTACATAGTGTCAAAATTTAAATTACGAGAAATGTTTAGCAGCTGGAACATAATTTTTCAGTTAATATAAAATTTTAATATTAATTAGAACTTGTTACATAATATACAATACGTATACATACATATTTTTCGTTTCTACACATTACGTACATATATGTAATATTTTATATGTGAATATGTATGTTCGAGTACATATGGATAAATGGACAATTATTTATTTTATTAAAACTTTGATGGAAAAACAATCTAATTTTGCAAAATTATGTGATTTAATTTTTATGTCTAGCTTAAAATAAATCGCCTGCATATACCAAAAACCTGTATAGCATAAAATACAAATTACACATTTTGATAATATACATATTATATAGTCTCACGTTAACTATATACTTTCAAATATATGTACATATACCTATAACTATTATGTAAGAATGTTTATATACAAATCTTAATATATAATCTTAAAATCAAAATCGTGAAAAAAATAATAAGCAAACCAAAATTATCAAGATCATACACACTTATATACTATATGCATTTGCAATTTATATATGCAATACAAATGCCTACCACTTTATATGTGTTAGTAAATAATTATTATATCAATATATTATTTTCTTTCATTCTGATTTTACAAAAAAAAAAAAATTATTTTTTTTTATAAAAGTCAATTATTTCACCATTATGTCAGAAATTGTTATTTATTTCCACTATCATATCAGTATGTATGTACATATATATGTATATTTGCGTCAGGAACATTTTAATGGACAATTTAATTTTGATTTTCTACTATTTTTATTTTTATTTTGTTACTCAGTTATATTTTAATGCAATTGTTACTATCATTATCATTATGATTTTAGTTTAGTATAGTGTATTGTATGTATATGTATGTTATATTACATGAAAATATAATTTATTTTATTTATTATATTTACGCAGGGTAAAAAAGTCTACTATCATAAAATTATTATTGAAAGTGGAACTGGAAAAGAATTGGTCAGTGTTAAATGTATAACTACTGGACCGGTTTATAATGTTATGAATCAAACAACAATCGGCAATAATCAAATGGTACATCATGGAATTGTTAGACGAGATGTATTACCAGCTGGTTTTCAAGAACCAGAGTAAGTTAAAATATTTTATACTATATATTCTATTATATAAGTTTTAAATAAAATACATATAGATATGTTTGTATCAATATTATTCATAATATATATTTTTATATTATACGCTCTTTATGTTTTTGTTTCTAAAAAATTTTGTTAAAAATATTAATTATTAATGTGTAGGTATTTATTTGAATAATTCTTAACTACAGACTCACAATTATTTTAATTAGTCGTATAATTATTCACCATAAAGCGCATACTGTAAATTTGTTGCAAAGTTTATAACATTAAAAATTAAATTTAGGTTAATTTTCTGCCTTTATAATGTTAGGACAAAATTGACCATCCATATCAATTTTGAAGATGACAGAACTATATGCTAATTTTTCTCTATTTTAAAGAGAATAAACTGCTCGTACATATTTTCATTTATCTAATTTTTTTTATTCTTGTTTTCTAATCAATTATTCATGTTTCTTTTAATATTAACATCGTTAATCTTTATACATCTGGATTCAAAAAAATAGATTAAGTATGTCATTTATGTTATCAATGCTACTTGAAGAATATATGAATATTATTACATGAATACAATTTTTAATCTTATTACGGTTCTTATTGACTTATGTATGTTTATTAATTAAAATGTTGAAATTCCTGTTCCTCCATATACAAATGAATTAAAATATCCTATAAATAATTAAAAATTGATTGAAATTTAATCATGTCATTTTATGTGAGTTAATTGTGAATATGCTTATGCGTACATAAACCTTCCTTTATAACGTGAAAAGGCACATTAGAATACATTGTATGGCAAATTTTAATTAACATTCCATGTAAATGTAATATACAACATTTTTTTAATTTAAACTTTGAATTAAGGACAATTTTTAAATAAAAAATATACTACATTACAAAACAATGTTATACATTCTTAACTGCAACATTTATTACTCAAGGCATTAAATCCACTTTACAATTTATATTTAAATAGATAATATGCATACAATTAGGGAAATTAATTAGAAATATTGCCCTATTTTTAAATAAAGCTCTTTAGAATCTAGAAAAAGTTTAATACCTTGTGACATTATACATTTATTTTTAATTTTATTGTAGAGATTTAGAAATAACAACATCACTTACGGAACATGCTCCAGAACCAATTTTAGGGGTTGATGTCCGTCAAAATGGTGAAGTAGTTACTGGTGATTTAAATGTTAGTCCTGGTACACCACTCTCAATGGAAATATACCTTGATAAAGGTTCTGCTCCAGTTTATGGACTTGCCGTTACGTACATGCAAGTAACTGACACAAGAGCTCAGGAAGAAACAATTATATTTAATGGGTAAGATAAATATTTCCTTAACAGATGTTTTTGCTTATTGGGACAGATATAAATTTCTAAAACTTTCTTTATTAATTGTTGGTTATGTAGCTTATTAACTGTAAAAATTGATCTCGTCGATTCCAGAAAGCTGGGAACGATAAATAAAAATAAAAAGTTGAATAAATTGTAATGTAAAAAATATCGGCCTCCCAAAAAGTTAAAATATCTTTCGATATTGAAAAAAATATAAACACATTTTTATTAAAAAACTGAATAAATTTTTTTTTAATGCAAATTTTTAGATGTTCTGTTGATCCATATCTTTTTGAAAATTTCAATACAATTGATGGTGATTCATTAAGTGCGAAATTTCGTGCATTCAAATTTCCAGAGTCTACTTATGTTCAATTCCGTGCAACAGTTAATGTTTGCTTAGATAAATGCCTTGGTACACCATGTAGTAACGGTCAAATTGGTTATGGTAGAAGAAAACGTGAAATTTCCAATACGAATGATAGCTCTGGAACAGATCCAAATAAAATTTATGAAATATCATTGGCAACCTTTATTAAAGTTAATGACGTAGATGGAGTTTTAAATAAAAGTAAATTTTAATACATTTTACTTTATTTTATTTTAATTTACACATATTTTTATTCATTTTTGTAGATTTAAAATTAGAATTAGAAGAAAAAATTCGACAATTAAGAATTGCTAACCAAAAATTAGCTCGTAATAGTCGAGGGAGCATATCAATGAGTGGTATGGAAAGTATGGAACAAGTAACTGGATCTAGTGCAGCTACTGTATATGATGAAGAAACTTTATTAAAAATTTCAGAACAATCAATTCCAAGATCTGGTTCAGAAACTAGACTACCAATGATACCATTAATATCATTTTTAGTAATAATATTTAAAATTTTTCTGTAAATAAAATTACAAAAAAAAAAAAATTATAAAAATTCAAAAATATAAAAATAATTGAAGAAATTCACAAAATTTTAATTTTAAAATTAAAAAAAAAGAAATTGGAAAATTAATTGCTTTTATAATTTAGCCCGATGTAAATTAACAAAATTTGAAAAAACAAATTAATTAAACTTAACTGCCATTTTTAAAACTTTCTAAAAGCGTTTTTTTAATTTTTTCATTTTTTATTTTTTAATTCAATTGTGTAAAAGATTATAAAGTAATTTTAAATTTAATTTAAAATTGAAAAAGACAGTAGAAACCTACTACGTTCTTATAATAAAAAAGCCATTTACGACCTAATGATTGTATTAAATTCGAAGTGTTTATATTTTTTAACAAAATTTCATTTATCATTCAATTTATAGCCCAGGACTACGGAATTCAAGAGGAAGTCTGTACTTATTAATTAAAGTGTATTTTCCACTTTAATTCAAATAATTTTTATTTGTAATTAAAATATATAGGATTTTTTGCTTAACAATAATTAATGTTACAAATTCTATTACGTATTTCAAATGTTTAAGTGGCATGAACGATTTAGTCAAAAGAATTGAATTTACCGATATTCAATGATAAAACGGATTAATATCAGCAATACAATCATTAAGCTTTAAATGAGGAAACACACATTTTTTCTCAAATTCCGAATATTCATTTAAATAAAAACTTTTAGTTTACCTATATGTAAATAATAATTATTTCAATTCAAATTATTTTTACTCAAAAATCTCAATAAAACTGTTCTAGTTCTTTTATTACAAATAATAAAATAAAGTAATTAATAAAACAAATTCTTCTATTTGATAATATTAGATCTAGAACTTGTAAAAATTCTTATTTAAAAATATAAATTTTATTAACAATATTGCATTACTTATATTTTAACTAAAAAAAAACGCTTGAAATTTTATTTTTAAATAAAATATTAAATAGAAAAAAAAACATAATTAATTTGCACTTGCTTAAATATCGTATATAGTTTAGATTTTATGATATTATTTTTAACTTTTAATTATAACATTTAGTTTTTAATTAAATTTACATAATAAAAATATGAAATAAAAATAACTTTACTAGTCTTTTAAGTATAATACTATTATTAAATAAATAATATAACTCATAAGTCATGAAATTAATAAGAAAAAGAAAAATAATTAAACACTTTAAAATATAACAAGAATAAAATTGTAAAATAATTAATTAATTTGTTAAATAAGAAAAATAATAATTTATAACAAAAACACTTATTATAACAAAATAAAAATAGAATTAATAAATAAAATTTTTAAATTTACAACACGTCTTATATTGTTTTCTATTTTATATCTGCAATGCAGAATGGTGTTCTGCATTCGACTACTAAGTAGTGATTCGTAAGTGAATTTAAATTCCAATTGATGTTCTGCAATTCATGTTAAACCGAAGAATTCCTTGGTTAATTTCAAAGTTTTTCGGTTAATTAATTTCGAATACTTGCATATATAAAGAGTTTTTGTGAATTTCGTTAAAAGATTTTATAATTCAATTTGAAAATTAGGTTTAAAAAGATATAGATCTAGTTTATTTTACTTATATAAACAATGAAACTCGGATCGAATCAAGTATTTGCGCAAAAAAAAAAAACAAAAATATTTTATTGTTGATAATAAACTTTAATCTTGAAATATTGATTAATTTGTAAAAGAAAGTGAGAGTATTAATTTTAATTTATTGATTGATTTTTTACCTACCCCTAGTTTCAGAATTGACAAGAAAGTTTTTCTAGAAATTTTAAGCGAAATCGAAGACCATGTTCAAACATATTCGTTTCCTGTTATTTAAATAAAATATGTATTTAAAATTTCTGTATTAAACATTTACATAAAACAAACAAAATGTTTACATAAAACAAACAAAATGCACATTTTATTTCCCAAAAGGTGTAACTCTGCTCAATGTAAGATTAATAATTTTGTTCTTTGCCATTCAATTTGTATTCCAAAACTCAAATTGGATTTCCTATTTTGCTCATAAACGCTTTTTATATTGATATATCAGAAAATAAACTTCTAAACTGCAACATTTTCATTTGAATTCTTTTAATTTTCTTACATTTCTCGCATAGAAATAGAATACATTAATCTGATTTATAGAAAAACGTGAATTGAATTTCAGAAACAATTTATTAGTAATGATTTATCAGTGAGATTTTGAAAGTCGCACTAGCAAGAATCCCTTAAGCAAAAATAAAGATGATAGATTTGTATCTGAATTGCTAATTCGATTTAATTTATCTGTTATAGGATACTAGTAAATTCCTTAAACAGAAAATTTAATTATAACTTTTTCAAAAAACAAAATTACACATTATAGAAAATTTACTTCTTTTCCTACATACATACATACATACATACATACATAGAAATTCTATTTCAAAATAATTTTCAAAACTCTTTTAAAATTTACTCTCAATTTTCAGAAACTTAAGTTATCAAAATTAAAATATCTTATAAGCTCAATTTTAGAGATGCTCTCAAACAAAATCTAAACAATTTGTCTTAAAAGATCATTAAACAATTCCAGCTGTTATAAAAATTTATCATCGTTATCAAGTGTTTTAATTTATATGTATATAGTGTTAATTTCTGATAACATACTTACATGTATGTATTTGATATAAACAAAAATATTTGTAAACAACTGCAAATCAGTCCACAATAACTTGCATTACGATTATTATCTCCCACTACCGCTTGCTCTTTCCATTATTATTTGAAATAATTTGAATACTTAAAATGTTATCTCTATTTAAATGAACATACTTACATACGTATTTATGTGTGGTTAAAATAGCCAGTCATTGACATTCAAACCACAATACAAAAATTAAAAATATACTCAGATATAGCAAAAACAATCATTTTATATAAATAATAAACAATACTCGCAATATAATTAACAAAATTTTGAATTATTTAACCAGTTTTTAAAATAATTTAGTACGAGTAGGTTGTTTTATAGAAGTTCATTTCATTTTTCAAATTTACACTATTCAATTTTAAAAATACAAAAATATGGAAGTAGAACCACCGCAATCATTGAAAAAGCCATTAGTTGTTGTCGAAAAAACTATGATGGGGCCAGGTAAAAAAAAATTTTTTAAAAAACAACTTTTATTTCATCTAATAAAGATGAAAATAAACATACATAAGTATGTACATAAGTAAGTATGAATATATAAGTATTATCGGTAACGTGTTAAATTTAGAACTAAATATGAAACTATAAGTGAGAGAAAAAGCTTATATTTATTATTTTTTAAATTTTAAAATAACATTGCCATACTATGAGAATTATCTATATGCTTAAATCGTTATAGGACCTTCAAATTACCCTCAGAGAGTAATAGATGCCCTGGGTAAACAAGTTATGGGCCACTTGCATAAAGAAACTTGTGAAGTAATTATTGAAATAATCAAGTTAAAAAAATTGGAACCAAATTGAAATTAATTTCGTTTTTTAGATCATGGATGATATAAAAGAAGGAATTCAATACATTTTTCAAACAAAAAATGAAATAACGATGTGCGGTAAATAAAATTAATCAATGAATTAAAATTTTAAAACTAAATATTTTACGTTTTAGTTAGCGCATCGGGTCATGGCGGCATGGATGCAACAATGTGCAATCTATTAGAAGAAAACGATGTTGCACTTTTTGGAGCAACAGGACATTGGGGCCATAGAGCGGCTGACATGGTATATTGATTAATAATATTAAAGAATGACTGTTGTACTACACAGGAAAATAAAAGAAATAAATGAATTTTTTTTTTTTAAAGTTTATATTTTAAAGAAAAACAATTACATATATTTTGGAAATTCAACACCAACGAACTGTATTAGAAAATAGAACTTATAAAATCGTTAAAGAAAAGCAAATATTTTTAAATAAGAAATTAAAAATTTTCAGGCTAAACGATATGGAGCAGATGTAAGAATATTAGAATCAGAGTTAGGTAAAGCATTAAGTGTTGATGAAATAAAATCAGCAATTGAATTACACAAACCTGTAATTTTCTTCCTTGCTCATTGTGACTCTTCAACTGGAGTTGTTCAATCGTATCTTGGTGATATTGGACTAATATGCCGTAAACATAATGTAATATTTATTGTAGATACGGTTGCTTCTTTAGGTGGAATAGACTTTTTAATGGATGAATGGAAAATTGATGGTAAGTAATTTAGTTCTACATATTTGGAATAAATTGAATTTTCTTTCTAACTTTTTTTTTAATTTAAATTTTTTGTCATATGGAAATTATAACAAAAATATACATATTCTTTTTTCATTATATGTAGTGGCTTACACTGGATCTCAAAAATGCTTAGGAGCTCCACCTGGAATAACACCTATTTCTTTAAATGATAGAGCAATGTTTAAAATTACATCACGAAAAAGTCCTGTAAAAGTTTACTATTGGGATTTTATTTTAATCGCAACTTACTGGAAATGCTTTCCCAGTGAACAAAGAATTTATCATCATACGATATCTGTTACGCTTTTATATGGACTCAGAGAGGCATTGGCCATAATGGCGGAAGAAGGTTTACAATCAAGTATCAGAAGACACACTAGCTGTTCATTTAAACTACAACAGGGTGTAGAAAAAATGGGTTTGGAAATGTTTGTAAAACTACCATTTCACCGAGCATCAACAGTTAATGCAATAAAAGTACCTGAAGGAGTAGATTGGACAAAAGTTTCAGATTATGCTATGAACAAGTTATTATATAATTTTACACCAAATTGAACCTTTTCTTTTTTTAAACTTTTAATTTTTTGACAGATATAAACTTGAAATAAGCGGTGGTTTGGGACCAACTAAAGGAAAAGTTTGGCGAATCGGTCTTTTGGGATTAAATGCTTCTTCGGAAAAAGTTGATTTAGTTTTAAAAATTTTAAAGGAATCAATAGAAAACACTTCTGACTTTATTTTTGTTGATAAATCAAAAATGTAAATAAACAAGAAAAGTATAAACATACAGTAATATTACATATAGTTGCACATAGATTTTTTATTTTTAACTTTATTATTTTCATTTTTATTTAGATTATGCCTTATGATCAGAATTTTCAGGGAAACCTGGTATCTCAAAAAGGGTAACTTGATAACTTTTCCATAATATTTCCTTTTTTACAATTTTCTTGTTTTACTAAAAAAAAGTTTTTTTAGTAAAAAGTCATTTCTTGAAGATATTTCAAAATGACTACTCCTCTTTAGTTTTATATACGCACGTTATGTACATACATATATAAGTATATATTTGAAACCTTAGCCCAATTGGCTCTTGGATTAAAACCAAGTTTGACTATGTAATTTGATTTTTGTATTCGGAAAAATGGTACGGTAGCAATAATGTTAGACTTTTTTAGCATGCGAAATATTTTAGTGTAAAGTCAAAATTATTCATTTACTTATATTATACTCATTTAATAAAATAACTTGTACTTACATACTTATTAAAAATATCCCATTAATACACATGAGGAGATAATTTATTTTACTGTTTTTTAATTAAGTTAACGGTGCCATATTTTTCAATTTTCATACCAAATGACACTATTTCATACAGCTTTTTACTTTTAATTTTATTTTATACACCTTTTTATTTTTCTATTTTGTTCACCTTTTTACTATTAATTTTACTATAACCAAATATTAAAGTCACTGGTGTTAAACGGCAACTCTTTTTTTTTTATTAAAGATTTTCAGGAACATATGATTTTTAAAAACAAACGTACATTTGACATTTTTGTTTGTTTTCGAAAATTGCATGAAAAAAACAATATTTAAATATTATTCAAAATGGAATTTTTTAAGTTACATTTCGAGGGCGGTTTTCAAAGTACAGCTTATTACGATTCCCAGAATCAACTAAAGTTTGAACCTCCAGTATATGAACAGAGGTATGCTACAGCTCTACGTGTTCTTAGTTTTTGGGAAGGAAGTTTTAAAAAGGTGGGTACTACAAAGTTAATGAAATTTCAGTTACCAAATTACAAATGCCAATATTGTAGATAATAGATTTTGGATGCGCTGAATTAAAATTCATTCATATGTTAAAACAAATACCAGAAATAGAACATATCATTGGAGTAAGTTTATCTTTTGCAACTTATTTTTACTTTCATATAATATTTAATTTTAATATAAACAAATTGGATTCAAATTACTTTTAACAATTGATATCATATTATACATCTAATGACTACAAAATTACATATCTTTAACAACATAATGTAGAACCGAAGTGTTGTACCTACCTAGGCAGTTAACGAGTACCTATATAAGAATAACATATGGTATGTAGATACATGGCCATACAAACCTATGTACATATGTCAAAAGTTTTTATACTGCTTTTAAATTGGAGATCTATTAATTTCTATTTATGTTACATCGAATTTAATTTTTTTTTTTTTTTGTAGTCATAAATGATTTAGTACAAATAGAAATTCATATCTAAAAACTATCTAAAACTTTAATTGGAAACAAGTGAAAGTGTGGTTTGTACAACCTGTACATTCTATTGATATTATACCGAAATACATACCAAGCCCATATTAATATACATGTATGTAAATAATATTGTTCTGAGTAAAAACAATGATATTTTTCTCATTTGAAAATTACATGGGACAGAAATTTTTAGAGAAATATTTTAAAATTCCAATTTTTAAATATTTATTTTCATTACAGAAACGCATAGAATTTAATTTCTACATAAACAAAAAATCAAGTTACGGCCCACCAGACGAGCTTATAATAAAAATTAGTTAACTGAAGTGCTGTTTGAAATTTCTACCTTATCAAAACAAAATATGTGTACTTCAGTTATAGATTACAACTTCAAAAAGCCAACTTAATAAAAATTTTATGTATTAGACCATAATACATTACGAAATCTTATTTTTTAAAAAAAAATCAATAAATATATAATGTTCGAAATGCTAATTTCATTGCAAATCAGGGGTTAGATATTATCAAAAATAAAAAGCTAATTCTGAAAATTTTTAAAAAAATTCAATAAGAAAGATACGTTTTATATATATATGTCACAAACAACATAAATTTGTAAATTATGAATTTATGTATAGTATCATATATTTGTTGGACATCGATTTTGACAACCTAATTAATATTTTTTAAAATTTTTATAGGTCTTGACACCTTGAATGATTTTGTATTTTCAAAGTTTTGAAAACATTACATAATCTTGTATTTTGGAAGTTTTTAAAAACTCTAAATTATGATTGAAAGCAAAAACCGCATCCCTTTTGCAAATACGACAAACAAAATCTGCGGATAAGTTAAAGTCTGATCTTGTAACAGGTTCCTTCACGAGGTAAAACTAAAGTTCAACTCAGATATGCTACCAAATAATAAGCTCTTATTATTGACCGTGTTTTTTTTCATTTAAAATTATTGACAAGCTACATATATTAGTTATTTTTTATTAAAGTTAAGAATGATAAACAATCTTATAAGCGAACAGAATGAAAAATCAAATGAATTATTTTTCAATTTTTGGTTCGTGGAGAGTCAATGTGTTTATAATATTCTATACATACTCTAAAGTTCAGGCATAATTGACTCACAGAATCTGTTGAATTTTTAACGTTACAAGTTTTATACATTTGTTTGGCATTGGTTAAAAATATTTTGATATTTTTTGACAATTGCCTTAACTACGGCCACACTGATGTGAATATCAATAAACGTTTATTTATTCCGGCGGGTTATTAAGGTTAAAAAATTTAATTCCATCAACAAAATAAAAAACGTGCAGATTTTTTTTTAAATATTAATATCTAAGTTGACAAAATTCGTTATGTTGACATAAATAAATTAATTTATTAAAATTTCTAAGTGATGGATTCCTTTAACTTTGATCTTGACTTCTTAAACGATATTCATTTTGCACCACAAAGCTGTATTTCAACTGCAGTAGAAACAGAACAAATTAAAAAAGATGAAGAAGAAGCTACAGTCAAGTGTGAATTTCGAAATATTAATTCCTTTGATGTGAAGGAATTAACATCGAAACTAACTGAACATAATGAAATGGTGAAAGAGATTAGCAGGCTTAAAGAAGCTAATGAAAGACTTAAGAAACAATCTGCCAGTATTAACGAATCTGCTGAAAATGTAAGAATTCTGTTTCAAAACGAACGTAAATTAGTAGAAGAATTAAAAACCAAAAATCAAAGATTGTATGAAGAACTTAATCTATGCAATGAGCGGGTTGAAAATCTCCAACAATCTTTGGAGAACACTAAATACATTCAAGAACAAAACAAAGCATTTTTAGAAGAAAAATGCAAAAATTTAAATGACCTAGTACTGAGTCTTATCGACTTTAGCTTTGACGCAGCAAGGCAACTCTCAGATAATCTTATTTTAAGTACAAAAACAAAGAAAGAGTTGATGATTATAAAAAGTAATTTATTAAAACAAAATTACGAAATTCCTAGCGTCAAAAATTTACACGCAAAACAAAAAAATGTAAAATTAAAAAGTACAATGAGAAGTGAAGAATTTAATGAAATAAAAACGAGTAATACATCTCAGATTAATATTGATAAATTAGATAAAAGTACTCAATATATATCCAGTACTGTTACAAGAGCTGTTAATACTGATTTCAAAGTAACAACTTTTGATGCAAACGTTAACATTTCCGAAACTGCTGATTCAAAGATTTCTTTTGATGAACATATTAAATATAAAACAAATAGTTGTTTCAGTCCACACCATACCTTCAATAAAACTCATGAAGAAGGATTTTGTGATGAAAACGCCAAAGAGAAATTAAGTGATGCCCAAAAAATATATCCAACTATAGTACTTTGGAAAGCGCTAGGCGACAATATATTTAATTTAATAAAACATGGGGATAATTCATTGTATGAAAGCGTTAATAGTCGTGAAACAATCCTACAAAAAGTTCTCGAATCGCAGAAAAGCAAGGAGGAAGACGTGTCAAAATTGTTTTATTTAAATAAAGAATCTGCAATGACTTCTCCAACATCTGGTAAGCTAATTGAATATATATTGAAAGTGTTGAAATATTCATAATTTATTTTTTTTATATTAGATTATTCTGAAACACAGCTGTCCGGTGATTCAATAGATGATTTAGCACATGTAAAACCAGAAATGTTTTGCAAAGAAACCGAAATTAAAAAAAAGAGATTTGATAATTTTCTCTCCTTAAAAAATGAGACCAAAAATCGACAAACAAAATGTTGCGGGGAAGAGAAACTCAAAAATATTTCAGCAAATCTTTGTAATAATACAAATGATGTTAAAAGTATAGAAATATTTGATATCGGATCCAAAAAAAATTTTAGCAGTTGCAAAAGTTTCTTTGAAATTGATGAAGAGTGTGAAATAGATAAACACATAATATGTAACAACGAATTGAAAGTTAATAAGGATCTGGTTGAGTTTATTCCAAACGCTAAACGCTTAACATATACGTTAAGCGATAGTAGCGATGGGGATGATTGTTCAGTCAATATTATGAAAGATCAAAAAGATTGCAAAACTACCAACTTTTTAAAGGAAAATCCTTATAGGGATAAAGTTGAAATGCAGAAAATGTGCCCGAGTACCAAATTAAATATTTCCACGAACAATATTTCCTTAAAAACAGCATCAAGTGGAACAGAAATTCATGAAAATTTTCAGTCAAATGCAAAAAGACTTGAAAAGAATATTTGTGGTGTAAACGATACTGATACAAATTCTTTTACAATTTTTAAATCTATTGAAGAAAATAGTAAATGTATCTTTACGAATGCTAAAAATTTGAACAATCACAATAATTTAACTTTAACCATAGGAATTGCGAATGAATTGTCAGAAAAAATCAGCAAAACTTGTAAAGAAACACCTGAAGTATCTGAGGACTCGGAAAAAGAGCCTAAAAATTTTCAAGTTAATAAGGCTAAATCTCCTATTTCAGAAACAAAAAAATTAAAGAATATAGAGGTTAAGAGTGAGATTGAAACGTCATACCAGTATAAATGTGATAAAACACCTTATTCTCCCCTATCAGATTCTGGTACTTCAGACAGTTCTTTGGACTCCGAAGGGTCTAGTTCTTTGGAGTCTGAAACCTTGGAATCTGCAGAATCGGATTCTACTAATGAGACCGAAAGTGAAAGTAGTTCATCAGATAGCCCAAAAAATTCAAGTTTACAGTTTCAAGTTCAAAATTCAACACACGATTTGTTTATGAAAAATGAAACAAATTGGGAACGTTGCAAAAAAGTTAAAAATTTGGATGAATCAACACCCCAACCAAAAAAAATGGAATCTTTATTTGAAGATTTGTTCGGTGATAGTTTTGATAATTCTCCTGCTCATAAGACAAGTTCACTTACAAAACAAATATGTGAGGAAAAAAATCTTCGTGAAAGAAAACATGCGTGTACTTTGCAGGATGATTTATTTTTGTCTTCAAGTGATGATGAATCTTGCGAAAGTGATTCGGATGATAAAAAGAAAAGTGTACCTCAAAATGAAAATTTAAACGAATGTACGAACAGTTGTAAGAAAATTGAAGAAAGTGTGTTAGACGAAGCTTTATATGTGGGAAATTCGACTAGTAAAATTTGTGGAAAAGTAATAAAAAATGATTCACCAAAATTAAACAACACAATTCATAATGAAAAAGATGAAATAATATCAAATAATGGTGAAGAAAATATTTCAATTAAGAAACAAGATTTGCATGTCGTGGACAAGGTGAATGAAAGCATTTTACTTTCAACAAAGAGGACCGACATAGATGAAATAAGTAAAAATCAGATAACTTCTAGATTAAAAATTTGTTTAGAAAACAATGTAAGTAATTTGGAAAACGGTTCTAATCCATTGGTAATTTCGGATTTACATCTGTTTGAAGATAGTTCATACATTCATAAAAGTCCAGCTTATGCAGAGGAAAACGGTAAAACGGTAAACAAAAATTTGATTTCACAAAATAATTATGTCGATAAAGAACAGTCAAATAACATATCTATACAACATGAACAGTTAAAAGCAGTAGTCGAAAATAAAAGGCAGGAAAGCAAATGCAACGAAATAATTAAAATTGCCAATGACAAATTATCAAATATGTCAACAAGTAATGCTGTTGATGAAATTCTAAAATTATTCCCCCAAATCGATCGTGCAAAAAAAACAAGAACTACAAGATTATTGAAACAAACTGTGACGTTAACGAAAATGACTTCTCTGTCAACGACACACAATAAAGAACAAGTAGCAGAGAACTGTATGTTTTCTAACATAAAAGTTAAAAACTCAAATGAAAATCCAAAAAATTGTGCAAAATCATACATGTGCTTAAGAAGTGCCAAAAACAAAAGTTATAAGAGAAAGATAACTGAAAATTTTGCGGACTGCAGCAAGAAGGTGAAAGAAGATATAGGAGATCTACTTTTAGCTGAAACCTATGCGAAGTCAAATGAAACCGGCATTACGGTTTCAACTAAATCATCCAAAACAAATTGCCATGTTACAGATAACAACAATCATAATAAAAGTATGAGAGACAGTTCAAAAACAGATTTCTTTGATAATATTCCTAATTTAGACTCAATAACTCCAATCAAAGAATATTCTTTTGCAAGCCAAGATCTCACAGAATCAACCGAAAAATTAATTGAGGAATGTTTAGAAAACGATAACATAAAATACTTTAACCCTAGTAAAATAAATCTGGCAAAAGAGTGCACATTTGACACCAAAATTGCAAAAATTGGTGCAGAGTTTGAGGAGTTTGACATAAATAAAAATTTTTTCGAAGAAAATGGAATAAATTTAAATGATGAAAAACAAAATTTTAAAACAGTTTGTCCAAAAGAAATTAAACAACCAACACCTGACAATCAAAATAAACTTGATTCACAGTTAAATAAAGAATTGTTGACATCCAGCTTTGAGTACAGCCCAGCATCTCCTACTTGGAAATTTCAGGAGTCAAAAAATGTTAGTCCCGTCTTAATTCCCTTAGAAAGAAGAAAGTTTCAAAGTAGTGGAAATAAAGTAGGAGATAATTTTACTGCAATAGAAAAACAAGAATCTTTAATACAATACTTCCTTAAAATTTTTGATTCTCATAAACAATCTAAAATATTTCAAAATAAGGTTAAAAATTATACAGAAATTTTGTTAAAATTGAAAAATATTCTTGAACATTATGTTGAAAGCCCAGCAAATGAAGATCAGGTGAAGAGGTGTATATATAGATTATTTCAAAATACGCAAAATTCTAAAATTATATGCAAGGCAATCGCAGAAATTATAGAAATATCGAAAGACAAAAAAAAAATAAATTCAAGTTTGTCACTAAGTATTTCAGAAACAGAAGCAAAAATTGTTGTTCTTATTGAAAAATTTAATACTCACATAAAGCAATTCAAACAAAATGTTATCACAGAAATTCATAACCGAGTTTTTAAACTCAAATCAGATGTAATACCATTGGAAAATTTAATTAATTTAGTTAAATTTAATATAATACTCATGGATTTGGAAAATTCACTGGATAAACAAAGCGAAGACGATAGAAAAATGGCGCGATTACTAACTTTTAAATGTCTCTATTACTATAATATTAAAGCAATTCCGATGGTTTTTCAGTTGTTAATATCATATCCATCAATATTACCACGTAAAAGCAATCCTTTTTATAAAGATGATGATGTGATTATTAAAACTATTCAAAGTATATTAAACAGTATTCCATACGATGTAAATAAAACCGATTTAAAACATTATGAAATGTTTTACTTATTGAAAGACTTTTACAATTATGATAGGGTAAAACCTAGTCGGGAAGAATTAGTTGAATTTTTAATCATCAATATTCGTAAACATTTGCTGAAAGATATTTCGTATTCATTTGCTTTAATTTGCAAACAACACGGATTTGAATGGACGGAAAATTTTGTTATTGAAAAGAACATATTGCCATTATTAAACGAGTATTATGCAAAAATTTTGGAATCGGAAGAAAATGATGAGCGTATTGAATGTTTAATAGAAAGTTTGTCATTTATAATAAAAAGTTTTCCGGTTGATTTTAATAATTTCGATAAATACTTACAAATTTTTACAAATTTTTTACATTCTACTGCAAGGAAACGAATCCAACAAGCAGCTGTATGTGCTTTATTACGATTATCAAGATTTGGTTTAGTTAATATATTTACAGCTATCTTAAATTGGTGTCCAAATTTCGAAGTGGATAGAACAGTAAAATTAATGATTCAAACATTTTTATACAGGAAGCCTTTATACTACTGGAAAAAAATTCAGAACCAAATTAAAGAATAAAATATACATGCATAAATTTGTTTCAGAAAAATATAATTTAGGCTGTGAAATAGTAAAACCTAAACTAAAAAAATTGAGTTATTTTGGGAATTAGTATAAAATTAAAAAAAATAATAAGTATTTCTAAAAATTGTTTTAATTTTTATAAGTTTAAATAGTTAATTTTGTAATTTATAATAAACGCATGAATTTACAAATGATCTTTTTTTAACTTTTCATGGACCCATATTACTAATGCTATCCGAGCCGAATTTGTAACTAGCCATTTATCCTTCTAACATTAATGCTGTATTTTACCAAACCATATACATATATATTAACGAAACGACGGATCTCTCATTCGTAACAATAGAATCAATTATCTCAACAGAGACCTACAAAAAGAAGTGGATAGTAATCATCTGATTACTATCCACTTCTTTTTGTAGACTTTAAATTATTTATATTGGAATGTTATAAGGGTACCATATTTTAAGCGAAATACCAAACCTGCCAAATTGTCTACCAAACCTATTTCTAGCATTATTACCTTGTATATTTCATGAATGGACCCTTGAACAAAATTATCTTTCAAAAACTCGGCATAATTTAATTCGTCACTAAGCGAAACTGTGCAATATTGCCAATGTCAAAAGGATTTGCAAATAAAACAAACAAACTAGGGTTACAATAACAAAAAGTACGTTTTTCAAACACAGATATACTTTTTAATTAATTCCCAAGGCGGAAAAACTAGAGATGAAAAATTTTGTTATATTCGAAATGTGGGCAAAGAAAACAACATTTGGAAGAAATAAAATAAATTTTCAAAATCCAAACACTTTAGAATTGAAGTAAGTCTGAAACAAATAACAAATTAATTTCAACCTAGCCGTTACTAAAAAATTTTTATGTAAGGATGAAAACCCTATTAATTTATGTTATGTTTCAATAAACTACTTATTGAAATCAAACTTTTTTATTTATTTTAGGTGGATATCGACAAAACAATACTTGAACTTAATTCTAGTCGAATAAATCCTCTACTTTGTGATTATATAAAAAGAAGAGAAACACCTTTTAAAATTGAACTTTACGAAGGAAGTATAGATAGCCCAAACGATATCTTAAAAAATGCTGATGTAATTTTTGCGATAGAATTGTAAATAACGAAAATACTCCGTGTAACAATATGTATAGAAAAATTTTATTTTTATAATTTTCATTTTAGAATAGAACACTTATATCCAGATGTTCTTGAAAATGTACCGTTCAATATTTTCGGTTTTATTCAACCGAAATTAGCAATATTCACAACTCCAAATTGTGAATTCAATGTACTATTTGATCTTAATTTTCCAAATGGAATGCGACATCTAGATCATAAATTTGAATGGACGCGTACTCAATTTAGGAATTGGTGTCAGAACATATGCAAGCGCTTTCCAAAATATGTTGTATCAGTTTTTGGTGTTGGAAACGGTCCGCCCGTTAAAAAAGGAATCGGTAAAGTATCTCAAATGGCAGTTTTTATTCGAAAAGATATGGTTAACATGGAAATTCCAATGGAAATTGAATTCTCCAAAATTGATTTAAAAGAAATTGAAATAATTTCATCTGCTACAAAAGAATACAATCTAGTTCACTCTGTCGAATATCCTATTTTTGAAGACAAAAGAACATTAGATGAAAAAATTCTCGATGAGGCTAATTATCATATAAATCGTTTTAGAAACCAAAACCATTATATAAAACTTTATAATAACGCTGAGAAAACTGTTATACCATTAGATGAGATATTTTTTTATACAAAACAATATTCAGATTCTATAGATAAGTTAAAAGAAATTTTGAAAAACAATAATTATTCAGTAGAATCCGATAATATTATTGTCGACGTAGAAGAAAATTTTGAATCCGGAGATGACGTGGATGAACTTTTATATGGACCTGGTACACATTACAGTGACGAAGAAGAAAAATACTTTTTTGAAGATATTGTAAGTAATTTTAGATTAGAAATAACATGATGTAAATTATTTAGGTTTTATGTAAATAATTCAGGCAATGATTCGTGAAACTCTAAAGATTCAATAATTTATGTGAAATTTTCACTTTAAATTTTTTTTTTTTTAAATAATATACAAATACAATTTAATTTTATGAAATTATAGATTCTAGGTACTAGTAATTAATTTATTGTTTACATTATCATACAATGTATGCATTGTATGTTTTATAAATTAAATTCAAAATACTAACTTACCACTAAATTTGCATCACGGTGTATTAAATAATCTCATATTACGTATATACGTCTCTCTTTAGAATGGTGATAACAAGGGAGATAAAGGAGATTTGCACCAGGAATCTATTCCAGATGATGTTTCAGAGTGTTGGGATTGAGAGATTTAAATTAGTAGAAAGTTTGCTTTTTTTAAACAAAGAGAAATTTTTAAATTAGTTAAAAATTCAAAGTAAAAAACATTACTAATTTGTACCAAATATAAAAAAAAATAAATGACTTTAAAAGAATTCAATTGCAATGTTTTTTTCATTTTATTTACAAAGCACATTATTACATTTTTTCTTCTTCTCTGTTACATTAGTTAATTTTTATTTTAACAGCTTATTTTATTTTTTTATTTAAAACTACGTTTTTTTTTTTTAATATTGTTTTTATGTTATTAAATAATGATTTTTCCCTCCATATATCATCAATAAAACTTGAAAGAAATTATAAATTTCTGTTTGATTTCCAATAAAATTTTCTACTCATCATAACAATTTAAAATTTAATTTTTTTTTAATTTTTTTTTTAATAATAAAGTTTATTAATTATACAATATTACTTTTGTATATATAGCAATACAAATCATTCATAGCTACGCATATTTGAATTCCTGATTTTATAAAATAAATGTAGATTCAAAAAAAAAAGTTTATAAGTACAACAGGTGGTCCATTATTTTGTACATGTATACTAAATTGACAAAATTTTGAAGCTATTTATTTTAATTTCAAATTCAAAATACACACTTAAAAAATTGACTTCCAAAATTTTATATCATATTATTAGAGTCCCTAGGAAAAAAAACAGGAAATTAGAAAAATTTAGTATGTTTTAATTGGCTACATAAAAAATAATTAAGTTTGGCAAAAAAAATAATGTTCTTAATATAATAAGCATTCATTGGACAAAAAGTTTTTCACATAGTATCTAGTCAACTTCTAAGTTTTTGATACAGGGCTTCTAAGATTTTTTTTCTAAGATTTTGATATATAAAAGATTACTTTTTTTTAGTAGAGTTCATTAGCGTTTTGATTGGTGCAACAGAAATATTGAAAATTTTTTTAATTGTTTAAAAAAAGTAAATAGTGGTTGGAGCACTGATCCGCTCAATTATGAATATATGTTATCAACTTGAGTAGATTTATATACATATGTAGGCATATGAAAGAAAATGTGGCTTTAAAAATTAATTTTTTAATGTGTATTATGTTTGAAATCTATTTACGTATTTGAAACCTCATTTACATTAAATACCTAATAATTTTTATTATTATTTTTGTTTTTTTTTTTTGTCTATTGAAAAATGGATATGTAAATGTATTACATATGTATTGCATATAGTAATACTAATAAGTAGTAAAGAAATTATAGTAGTAACTAGTAAAAAAATTAGTAATAGAAAATTTTGAATTATGTTAAAGTTATTATACTAAAGTAACATTAATTTTGAATAATGAGATTTCTTTTAATTTATCGAATGCTACATTTATTTTATCTATATTGCTAAAAAAAATTTGTTAAAGTCCCTTGATTCTTCACTTTTTTTTAACAAAATTCATTTCAATATAAATTAGCACAGGATCTTCAATACACTTACATATATATATATAATATATATGTATATAAATAGTTTATACTTATATATTTCAATAATAACAGTATTTTAAATTAAAGTAAAAAAAATAATTATACAAAATTAATAAAATACGCAACAAATATTAAATACAAAAAAAATTAAAGTAAAATATGTTTCTTTTATATCTAAAGTACGCTTATTTATTTAGAGCAACATATCGTACAGATTTTGTATGTTTTGTATGTAATTATAATTATACTCATAATTATAACACTATACAAGCATACATAAAAAACAAAATAAATTCATAAAAACGATAAATTTCGGCACATTCTTTTTTTTAACTAAAAACAGAACACGAAATATTTCAGAAAATTTAAGTTTGTCAAAAATGTTGCCTCATGTGTTACAATGATATTTATTTGAGTTTATTTTACATTGTTTCAATAAAAAATAAATATTTTGTACGTCGTACTTATTAAGAGTACTCCTTGTTAATAACCGGTTAATACGTACACCACTGTAAGTATTTGTAAATTAATGTGACAATTGATTTCGATTTAAACTTTGTGTGTAATAAAACTATTATAAATTCAAACTAAATATTACTTTTATATATATGTATATTAGTAAAAGCTAAATTACAGGCATTTTTTTTATTAAATAAAATACATGTTTCACAAATGTAATTATTTTCAAAAATTGATTTTTTATCTTACAAATATATAAGATGGCTTTGTTCATTATGAAATTCTGAAAAATGTGATGTACTAAATTAATAAACTAATTTTTTTTATAAAAAAAAAATGAATAAGCTGCGCGAAATATTTTATGTTTTGTGGGAATCTATAAACTAATAGCGAGAACTGTCCACGTTTATATGAAAAAAAAAAACACGAATTCTCGTGTAGGAGAATAAAAATTTTTTATATTATCGTCTTAAAAAAGTCAATAAAAAAATAGAAACGGAAACCTTTTTTAAATTTCTCTTAGAGATCCTTAATGTTTTAAAACAATATATTTATATGTATATATATATACATACATGTATATATAATTTTTTTTATTACTAAATTTGCGATTTGTTAGTACATAATTAAAATTAATAGAATAATTAACATTTTTTGCTATACTTAAGAAGCTACGATTTTCTTTTGAATTTTCTGAATAACATGTAAGACTCCATATTCAAATGGAAATTCGTTAGAACATTTAGAAAATTTTTTAAACTATTTGGAATAGCACTCTTGCAAATCATACAGTTTAACAAATCGCAAATTACTGTTAATTTTTTATTTACAATATTTTATATATTGAAATATATAATGAAAATGAGAAGTAAAAAAATATATAAACTTTTATTACACATAACCCAAATATCTAACATACTTTTTTTGTTATTTTTAGTACAATATTTTTGAATAATTATGTATATGACATTTTTGCACAAATTTAAAATTATAAAATAAACAAATTGTACATTGATTTTATGAATTAAAAATACATTTTTTTTTGTATTAATTATACAATCAAATTGGTTGGTCTTTTACTTAATTTATTTTTAAAAAATATATATTTTAATATAATTCTGAACAAATACACATTTCATTATTTTAATGAAATTTCTAATTAATCTCTTTAAATAATAATTATAATAGTGCTTAACTTATACACTAGCATATTTTTATTTTAGAAAATTATTCATATTTTAAATGTTTCTCCAACCTGTGGTTCACATTGCATGTTTTTCATTTATTTCCTTAAATTTTAACCTATTTCTTGTTTTGTTTGTTAATGTGTGCTCTTAAAAATCCTAATTATCAATATATTTTTTTTCTTATTTAAATAATTATTATTCTCTATTTATCTATTCAACAATATATGTAAAATTCTTCGTTTTGGATAAAAATTAATGTGAAGATGTATCTGCATTCTGTGATACTTTTAATGTTACCTTAAGAACATCTCGTAACTCTTTTAATTGTGGTCCATTTATGAATCGTTTTACACCACGTGGCAGACCGCGACATGACGATAAGTTAATGGAATATAATAATGGACAATTAGCTAAAATTTCTTTCACAGCTTCTTCAGATACCGATGATCCACACAAATTCAAATTTCTAATTAAATTTATTTCATTTTAAATTTCTACAAATTAAAACTTTTTTTGATATTTTTATGCTTACGTTAATGGAGATTCAATGCCCTTTTCTGCCAAAGCTTTGAGGGCATTATCCAGTGATTCTTTTACATTTGCCCAAGCTAAATCAAATTCAATTAAGCTGTGAGCCCATTTTGACGCTATTAGTTCCAAACCAGATCTAGAAAGCCAAAATATTAAATATTCGTAAATCTAAACTACTACAATGTTATTCATACCCAACATCCCGCGTGACAGAACATCCAGATAAAAATAAATACTTTAAATCCCAAGCTGGTAATCTTATTAAACTATCATGTGTTAATCGCGCACATCCTCTTACGTCTAATAGCTTCAATTTTGTACTAGTTTTTAGTATTCTTTGAAGAAATTCGTCGTTAATTAAACGTGATTCTTGAAATGAAGCAACAGACAACTCTTCTAATTCTGGGAAACCTGGGGACTCCATCTGTTAAGTATATAATCATTAAACCAAATTAATTTATTGTTGATATTAAAATTTAATAAAACCTGCTCTTGTAAGGAAACTCCACTTAATGCAATATGCGAATTTGTAATACGTAAAATCTTCAATTTTTGGCAACCCTTTTGCAGTTTTTCAATATGTAAAATTCCATGTGAAATAGCTACAGTTTGGACGTTTGATAAATCCAACAACAATAAATTTGGGCAATAAGTCTATAATAAATTTATCGAAATATATATTAAATGTCTATCAATTTATATATTAATTAAAATAGGTTGTTTTTAGATGTTTATCTTTTTTAACGAACCGATAATGTTGTGATGATTTGCGGCACACCAGCTAAACGATTATGTGCTAAGTGTAAATGAGTTAATCTCTCCCCTAATGTTTGAATTGCAAAACACAACGTTTGAAGAGCAACCCCACTCCTGTTAGGGTGTAGTTCCACCTACATTTATTATGGATTATGAGTTTATTAACATTTTCATTTCTATTTTAAATTAACTTACATTAATTGAACTTAAGTCAATGCGTTCTAAGCTTTTGAATTCTTTTACCAAAAAATTTAAATGTTCTGACGTAAAACCTTTCCAACCTGACAACGTTATTCCAACTAATTCTGGACATGATTCAGCCAGCCTACGCAAAACACATTGAATGTCTGAAACTTTCCAGTTCGCTGAAATTCAATAAAACTTTTAATAATTTTTTCAATAACAATAACAAAAATATCTTACATATATTCAGCTCTTTGCAACCTTTCATTCGATTTTCTATCAACCATTTAAGCTTAGCTTCAGTTCTATATCTATCTTTTATACAGGATCCCCAATCAAGATTACTCCACAGTTTTGGTGCTATTGAAACCTTTCTCCAAAGAGTACAAACTTGACCAAGACGAAATAAGGTTGGTAAACAACCTTCAGACTCAACTACATAGCTAAATATCTAATACAATAATGGAAAAAATTATCAAAAATGCAATGTTTTAATAAAAAAGTTTGTTATTCAAACATGCCTACCTCGAACAAAATTTCTTCGGGAATTTTACAACCCCACGGACTTTGATCAATCAAAGGTCTAACATCGGATACATTCGACTTTTTCTGTTTTTCTGAATTATTAGATCTTTCTTTTCGCCTCTTCTTTTCTGGCCCTATAGAAATGTCTTCATTATCTGAATCTATGTCCTTATACCTAGGTTTTTGCGACCTCTTTCTGGTTGACTTTTTTACTAACGCTGATTGATCGGACTTTTTGATACATAATTTTATTCCAACGGCGTTATCACTTATCTAAGAAAAAAGAATTGTATAACATTAAACATTCTACCTACTTTTTTCTTAAATATAAAACACTAACTTCACTTTGATAAACTGTAACTATTTCTCTTCTTTGCTTAGGTCTCCCACGCGATTTTAATTTTTTACTTAATGCAGCTGCACTGGATGGTTTCCCTGACTTTGGTATCGTTCCATTTGCAACTAAATTAATATAATTTTCAGGTAATTTCTTCTTATCGGATCTACATTCTTTTCTAATATCTTTTTCTTCTTTCTTTCCTGGAGAGGGAGAGGATATTGAAGATGAGGAATTTGTTGAAAACTTTAGATCCTTTAAAGCATCCTGTGAAATTTCTGTTTCAATGTCATCTGGCCTACTTATATTTTTTTCCTTACTGTCCTTCAATTGGTTAGATTCATGTTCAATTACTTCAGCAGAAACTAGCGGAGACATTTGAGATTCGGAAGGAGGTGAAATAGATGCTGTAGTATTTTCGTCAGTTGGTGATATTACAGGTCCTTGAGGTTCTGACTTTGGTGGTGATAAAAGAACGCTGTTGTCGATTGACAAAATTGGTTGAGAAGGGTCTGTTTCATTTTCCTGATCATCTTTTATTGGTGATTTTTCAGTTTTTTCCGTTATGTTCTCTAAAACTGGTGGGGTTACGGTTCTATCATTCTCACTTTTTGATTTTAAGTGGTCTAAAGATTTTTTATCTGATATAGAGTTCCCTTCAATTATATTGTCTACATTTTCTGAATTGCACGGCACTTTTTCTGATAACAAAATTTTATCCCTATTATGCTCTAACATATCTACGTCACCTTGACATTGTTCTGGCGTATTAGAAGCTATGCTAGATATTTCCTGAGGTTTTGAATCTGGTTCCATTTTTTAACAAATTTTTAATTTTTTTCACAATTTAAATGGAAACATCTTTGAAAATCTAGAAAGAAAAAGAGTTTAAACTGCAATTTACTCGTTAAATATCTAAAAAAATCAGAATTTCAGATTTTTTCTGCATAATATTTACATTCTTTATCTTCAGCTTTATTACTGACTGTTTAATACCAAACTAAGAATTTAAAAACTTATTTAAATTCATTAAATGTAATTGATATTTGCAAATTACCTGCGATGCTTAGAGGAAACAAATTCAAAACTTTTTAACGTACATATGACTTTCCAAACACTAGAAAATAGACCGTCCCTGACTATATATTTTAATTTTAAATTGTAATAAGTTGAAAGCCTATGGCTATCGAAATGAAATTCAGTTTAGTTTTTCAACTTATATAAACAAATGATCTGAAAGTTAATATGAAATTTTCGCCACAAATTACTATATTTTTCCCGACTTTTAAATAAAAGTTTATTGGAACAGCTTTTATTTCTTATTTTCTATGTTGCTCCTGCTGTAATCTGTAACTGTAGTACAGCAAATACACTTCAAAAACAAATTACGGTTTTCTCTTTTTATTTCATTTGGCCTTTAAATATTAGCGTCTCTTTTTGAAATGTCATAAATCAAAGAAATTTTGTAAACATCAAATTATAGATTTTTGAAATTAATATTGAAAATCATATTATACAAATAAATTACTTCGTTATGTTTATTAGAAAAACACAAAATTTCCAAAAGCAAAAATTTTTTTTTTCTTTTTTAATATATATTTTTTTCTAAAATATAATATTCACTTCAATGTTTTTATTTATATTTTTATTTTCACACAGTAGCAACAGACTTCCGACTATAATTAGTCAAAAAGAGATAAATATAATTTTTTATGCATTTTTTAGGTCATAAAATGTATAAGACAATTAAAATATATTTCTTCCACGAATTTTTCTTCTTGTCACTACGATTAAAAATTTTTTTTTACACTTTTATGATAATATTGAATGTTTTTATTATTTAAAACTCTAAAATAAATTTTCAAATGTATAAACAATGTTAATATCATATTTTTTCCAAAATAAAACAGCTCTTAACATATTGATTGCGCTGTTCACAAAAAATCAAAATCAACTATCTTCTTTTGAGTTTGATAGTGTTGCCATATTCAATACAATTTTCACAAATATCTGCAAATACGTACCGGCGTTCCAAAAATCTTCGAAAAATTTGTTTGTGTCTTCGGAAGATCATTGCTTTAAAGTTTAAACTGTTATCACTGGAGTAATTTTTGATTTCTTTGCTGTTCCTGTGGTATTTTTATATTACATTATTAATTTTTAAAATAATGTATTACAAAATAATGTTGTACCTGAAATAAGTAATGTAATACTTGTGTGTTACAAGGGTAGGGGTAATATATAATAAAGGTAGGTGTGTATATAACAAAAACTTTAGCATTGAAGCTAAAAGTGTTGTCAGGTTGTAAAGATCAGCTTCCAAATTTGGCAGCAGCTAACGTAATTAAATTATTGGACACGAAATAGAAGCATTTCAAAGTTGTTTTACTTTTCTAATTGATATCTTTATAAATATTACAATCTTTACAAAAGTGCTTCAACCGGCTTAACAAACTAAGATTTTGCAGTAGTCCAAATTTGAAGTGCGACTTTAAATCCAGACTGTTATAATATCCTTTATTAATTTAAAGTTCCTTCACGAGACCGAAATAAATTTTAATTAAGGTATTTTTATAGAAAATAATAAACTTTGCCGTGTAAACGTGTTTTTTTTACCAAAAATTATTAATTTTAATATATATTTCGAAAATGCTAAAAAATAAGAAATAAGTCGATTACTTTTTACTAAAATTAAGTTACTTTAACAATAGCCTCAAAGCTTATTATTTATTAAAATTATCTCAGTTATTTTTAAATTTTGTTTCGCGAAGGGATTTCATCTTTTACAAAAGTTTCATTCGTTCTCATAATAGTATGAAAGTCAAAAGTAAAAAAAATCAATTATCTCAAACTATATACCGTTATTGTCAAGGATTTTCTAAGACCTCTTCAAAATATTAAAACAATATTAGTGGGGTTACAAAAAAATATACAATTTCCATTTAAATTGAAAGAGTTCTACCGATAAAAAGATAGAAAAGTACTTAACATTTAAGTAACGCACAGTTCTAAAACTCATGACCTCTTTCAAAAATAAAGTCACTTTCACACAAAATATAAAGCAATACTTTTTTTATACTCTTTTCAATTTCTCTCATTTTTTCACATTTCTTGTTATCAAATTGAAAAATGGAATTAGGTAGAAAACATAGAAAGGAGATGCTATGGAAATCAATAATGTAAATAACTTTTCATTTGTAAATTGTAACTAATTTTGCTTGCCATGTCATATGCAAATCGTATGTAATTTTTTTAAGTACATACATAGTAGAATATAACGCACTATTTAAAAAAATTGAAGTTTGTTATTATAAATATTACAGGTTCAAGTATCAAAATTTTAATAAGACATCCAGAGGAAACAAAATCAGATTTTTTATATAATTTTGTAAACGATTACTTAAATCAAGCTGAGGCATACGAAATTGATAAGTCAATTGGTTATTCCAAACCTAGTATGACTTGCTACGACATTTATTACAAAAATATCGGATTAATACCAAATTATGGGGGACACGTTCCTGGAGCGAAATTTAACTTTGGTATGTAAAAAATATGCTCGAAGTTCGTGATAATTAAAATACAAGAAAAATAAAATTGATATAAAAATATATTTCAGGCAAAACATTTGGGAATTTTACAATTGATGTCAAAAGTTATATGCATCTACCTAAATAAACATGGTTTCACAGCATTCTTCTGTTATTTCTATTGCACTAATTAAAATAGAGAAATACTTAGCCATATTTCACTTTTGAACTGAATAGGTATAATGTAGGTTACCTAGTGCTTAATAAAAAAAAGTTATTTATTTTGGCTCAGTTCAAGCATCTTGTTTATATCAATTATTTTTTCTCTTGGTTTACCCAACTTTTTTCCTTCATCCACTTCATGTTTATCTATAATTTTCCAAGAATTCCACGTAACTATATTTAAATTTTTTGTATTTATTCCCGGCTTATTTTCAGATGTTTTTATAAAATTTGAATTAATATCATCACAAACTGCTTTGGCCACTGCAAAAGCTCCATTCATTGTTGATAAAATTACACCAGTAGGCCCAGTGGCTAACCAACCCGTAACGTAAAGACCTTTTTCATACACGTTTTCTTCACCACTTTTTCCTGCATCTTTTGATAAAACTCTTCCAGATCGATTTACAACACAACCACTTTTGTCATCAAAATTTATATCTTCGTCGCAACATATTGATTTATAGCCAATACTTTTCAGCAGTAAATCATTTTGAAACATTTCGATTTTATTTGTAGGAATAGCGTTTTCATTTTCAATTCTATTTATGCAACATTCAATTTCAGTTTTTGTAACTCGAATAGGGGATCTCAAAAATATTGGAATAAATTCTTTATCCCCACTTTTTGTTTCTCGTTGATTGTCTAAACTGCTTAACATTAGTTCAGTCAGGCGTTTACGAGGTCTTGACAAACTTGTCACTTGTGCTCGAATATCTATTGAAATTAAAACCAATTTATCTACTTAAAGCTTAAAATTCTTAAACTACAGCGTTACCAACCGTGGAAATCGGGTTTCCTCCATATTGTATTAACATTAGGTAGTTTCAACATTTCTCTTAATTCTTTTATTGTAAAAGCTGCTTGTAGTGGTCCTCGTCTTCCAATCAAACGTACCTTTTGAACTTTTGATTCAGAAAGTTTTTCTAAAGCAAATTGAGTAATGTCAGTTTTCTTAAAAAAGAAATACATTTTTTAAGATCAAAAATTTTGAGAAATTACTGCATAAGACTTTACCTTTAAAACATCGACTGGTGACAGTAAAATTCGGGCAACATCAATAGCAACATTTCCCTGTCCAATAATGGATGCAATATCAATATTTAAATTAATATCAAGATTTTCTGCTCCAGGCAAACCATTATACCAAGCGACAAAACTTCGTGCTGAAATAGCTTTATTTACATCTTCATTTATAATTTCTAAGTCCTTATCTCGTTCTGCACCATATGCTAAAATAATTGCATGATAATTTTCTCGTAAATTTTTCAATGTACAATCTCGTCCTAATTCGCAATTTCCAAAAAATTTAAAATTTTTATTTTCAGCAGTTTTGTTGAACGTATTTATGACATTTTTTACTTCTGGATGATCTGGAGCTACGCCGAATCTGCAAATTTGAAATATTATTTCTTTTAGTATACTATATTCGAGCAGAAAACTTAGTTACATATAAAAATAAAAAATACATACTATGTTCATTTCCTATGCATATAAAAGTATTTTTAAGCCCAGTTAATGTAATTTGCTTGTTTCTATTTAAAATTTTAATTTATAAGCAGATAAGTAACTATGCCATACACATTTTCCCCTAATTATTCTAATAAATAATTCATAAATCACAAGATGATGAAGCTACCTACGTTCATACATATCTATTAAATAAAAATAGATATTAGGAATAGTTGTACAACATACTTTTTTATGTCGTATTAACGTATGTACATATGTACAAAAATAGGATTTTTTTTGAGTTTTAAATCCAGGCAGAAGCTTTTTTTTCAGCACACTAAATGTATTACTTATTAGATAAGTAAGTATTTAGGTATTTATTTTAGTTTTAGTTGAAATAATTTGTACATATCTAAATTTTTAAACAAATTCCCATCAATATATAAGTTTTGTATTCCACATTTCAAGCTTAAAACAAAAATTCTCACATAGCGTCTGATTTTTAAAGAAAAATTTTAATTACCTAACCAAGCCGAATGGAACTGGAAGTTTTTCCAACATATCAATTTCACAATTTTCTAAATGTCTTAATAGATATTGAGCAGCATAAAATCCGGCAGGACCAGCCCCAACAACGCAAATTTTTTTTTTTACTTGCTTTCCTTCATTTACAATCTGCGTGCAAAATGACCTATTAAGTCTTGTTGAAGCCAAAGTTTTAAAAAAGTTCATTTTTTTTGGAATTATAAAATATATACTGTGATATACGAAATTTATACTATTTTGCAATTTTGTCTTTTACCCTTATGATAATGAATTTATTTTGGAAATTTTTTAACAATTAGCAGCTTTTAACCGCTACTTTAAAATATTTACATCGGCATAAGTAAGAAAAATTATTTATCAGTTTATCTAAAGTATTTGTATAAACATATTTGATTAACAATACAATTCTCATCTATTGTCTTCTGTCTTGGCATTCGGCATTCACAATATTTTTTCATATTTTATCATATAAGACTTGACATTACAAAAACCTCAGCCGTGATGTCAAACAAAAAAAATAAACACTAAATGTGCGTCTGGACTGACGATAAATTATCGCAGAACACCATTTCTATATGTCATCTGTCTGTTTAAAACGTTAACTTTTGAAGGCGTTTATGTTCTATAAACATTATCTTTTTAAAACGTTTTATCTTTTGAAAAATAGGAAAAACTTTGTGAAGATATTATCTGTTTTATATATTGTGAAGATAGAATTCGATATGCTTCTCGATGTTATCACCCTAATACATTATTTCTGAACCCCTGCGTTTTTTTCATTTCTTGTTTTAGTTGTTTTGTGAAAAAGAAAAAAAATATAAAAATGTAAAAAGTTATACACACAAACGTATATTTTATAAAAAATGTAACAGTCAAAACGATATATAATCCGATTGTCATACCTTAAAGGTTTGAAGAGATCTTCTGCGTGCTTTTAATGACGTAAAAGTCGAGTGATGGCTAATAAGCGTCCAGATTAATGTCTACTTGATGCCTTGACATTTTTCAAGTGATTTATCTTTCAGTATCTAAAATTACTGAGTTTTTTTGGTTTCCTTCAGGATTTTTCTAGTTATTGGTGTTACGCTTTAGTTTATCTCCAGTCGAGCCGGGGTTAATTTCTTTATCAAGCGCTTACATAGGCATGTAACTGGCAAAACAAATCTGTCAAATTATGGAAATAAAAAAAAAGAAACTAACCTTCCATGTTCTTTTTTCTTTTTCCACATCTGTTTTGAAAACCTTGCTTAACCTTAAATTTTTATTATCTTGAAATATTACGTAATCTTATTTGAAAATTTTAACAATCTTTTATAACATCCTAAAATCTTATACTGTTCCTCAACTACTGAACTTTATCTTTCAACACATTAAAAAATGTTGATCAACATCACTCACACTTAAACTTTTATTGAAATATGTACAGCACTACCAAAAGTAAAAATTTATCTTAAAAACAAAGGTTTTTTGGTCTTTTATTATTTATCTTTAATATTAAAGTTTTATTCATGCAATGAGTGACTTTAAAAAAAAACAGTTTTTAAAATCCGCTTTTAAACTTGACTTTTTACTTTTCTTACCAGATTGCCAACATCATCTTTAAATAATTTTTAATATTTAATAGAAAGATTATAATAAGTTTTAGATTTAGTGGCAGCATAGATTGAATAAAAATTTTATCGGAAGTATCGGAAAATTTTTAACATTGCAGCGAAAATTTTAGTTTTACAATGTGCCAGGAAATTTTTAGAATTTTTTCAATATTTTCTAAAGTTTACAAAAAATATTTTGACAAAATAATCAATTTAATGGGCAACCCATTGTAACGTTACTTCCATGATAGAAAATTTGGCAGCACTAAACATGTATCATTATAAGTATTACAAGCTTCAGAAAATTGTGACTATTGGCTGTTTTTCTCATTCAATGAACAAAAGTCCTAACACTAGTTCAGGGCATTGAATTTTGTTATATATGCACATATATAAAATTGAAATGTCACAAGATCACATAACTGTCTACTCTGTAGTAAATTAACTATACTAATGTTATAAACAAAAATAAATTTCGATTTATAAATGATTGTTCAAGACCAATTTTGCTGATCCAGTTATATTTTATGAATTCCACAATATGCAGACTGATAAAAAAATTAAACTGGACTTAAATGAGAACATTTTAGAATATTTGCCATTGGAGGTTATTGTTTATTTTTTATCTTTGAACTTTTTAATTACATATGGATGTAAAATTCAACTAATTTTTTTTTTAGATTTTATTAAAAATTTGTTCGTATCTAAATGGGGAAGACATCAAAAACTTGAAACTTACATGTAAACATTGGAATGAAATCACAGAAATTCCTCAAGTTGCTGGAAGATTACGGTTGAAATTAGTTCTAATAACTTCAAAGTCTACTAGAGAAAAAGTCAATTTTTTTCAAAATAGTAACCAAAAATTTTATGATATTTCTTTGCAAAGATGTAATGTAGATCTTTTGGCATCTTTGTTTAAAATTATAGGGAAAGAAACTAAAATTTTAACTATAGAAGATTGTCATTTTTATTCAGATGATGTACTCAAAGATATTTTAAACAGTACCAGAAATATTGAAATACTTAGAATATTACATTGCTCGTTTAATCAATGCGTAATCCCTAAATACGATAAAGTATTTGAAAACATAAAAGTATTGGAAATTTTGAACAAGCCCGTTACGAAAACGAAGTATGGGGAGGTAATTAATATTATCCGTAAGTGAAAAAATTTAAGTACTTACAGGTAAAAAGCATCATTTTTTATATTCTAGATAATATTGGAGAAACTAATTTAAGTTGTTTTACAATGAATTACATTTATAAAATTTTTCGGGAAGGAAATCCGTCTAAAATAAGGGAATTTTCACAAATGGTTCTCAAAAATCATGAAAATTTGAAAGAACTCAATTTGCTAGATTGTTGTTTTGTTGAAGAAAAATTTGGAGTATATTTTTGGGAATGTTTAATGAAATGCAAATTGGAAAAATTTTCTGCGAGCCATGTACCGCCAAACGCGGATTCGGAAAAATTTATGAAATTTTTAATATCACAAAAAAATTTAAGATATTTAAAATTAGTTAACATACGATCTTTAACGGACGACATGATGGAGACCCTTGTTAGCAATTTAAGTGATTTACGTGAAATTGAACTGTTAAATTGCGTTAATTTAACTGATAAGGGTGTTCTTTACTTGAAAAAATTAAAGGAGTTGAATTCGCTCAATATTACTTACCACATTGCATATGAAATTTTGGAGAATATAACAATCACATCTATTTTAAATGGTATTGCTCAAGAAAAAAATCATAAATTAACGGAATTGTCTTTGTGCAACATTAAAATGACCGTCGATCAATTATGTCAAGTAATTAAAAATTTACCGAGTCTTAAAAAGTTAAAGTGTGAATCGGTTAAAATGATGGTGCAAAACGAAGCATTAGAGGTTTCGAAAATACTTTCAAATAATATGTTTCTTTCAAATTTGTCTTTTGTTAACTACAAAACAAACAAAGAGGAGGTGGTAATATTAGATAATGTTTATGTACATAATTATTTTTTACTAAGAAAGCCTATATTCTAGAATATTTGCCAAAATAATAGGAATATTGAAAATCGAATCTTAAATACTTTGGAAGTATCTTATTCAGAAAGTTGTAGAAATATACTAAGGGCCATAAAATTGCCGAATTTAAGAACTTTGAAAGTATTTTATCATGATGACAGACGACAAAAAGATAATGGGAAGGATTTTGTGAAAGCTTTGTATAACAGTTCTCCAGCTCTTGAACATATATCTCTTACAGTAATGTCAGACATCGATACCATACTAGATTTTATATTCACTTCCTTCAAAAAATTAAAAAGTATACAATTTGATTGGCACTGCGGAGACTGTCGTCTTTACAAGCGTATACATGTTAAAGTAGAAAATTACATTAAAATTAGAATTTTAATTCAATTTGAATTTTAAATTCAGGACCTAAGTTCCTAAAACTTTTTTTTATTTTTAGACAAATCAGCGACTTCATCCTTTACTTAGAAAATCACCAAGCGGTAACTTTCAATTTGATGAAACTTGTGAGCGGTGTAATAACCTATTTTCCAAGTTATACTGAAAATACTGAAATACTGAACCTGATTTTATTCAAAACACACTATTTTGTAAAATTTTCATAATTTTAAATTTATTCCTGAAAACAACGATCGCGCTTTAATATTTATTTGAAGTAATAAAAATATAATAATTTATTTATTTTTATATTCTATTTTCTGGACTTTGTGTATTCTATTACCATGGAGGGATGATATAAGTTACAGTATGTATATTTTTTTGCATTTTTTTGTTCAGTAAAACAAAAGGATCATTTAACAATTTAAAAATTATATCTGGATATTAAAACAAATTTCTTATATAATGTGCACATATGTGCTCAATAAAAACGAATCTGTAAATTTTTAAAACCGCACACTTGTGCTTTTTTTATTTTTATTGTGAAAGACCATGTTTAAAGTAAACGAAATATTACGAAACCCTAATTTACAAAGAAAGTGCAATTAACATCCCACTTGGAAACTAAAATATACAGGATTTAAGCAGACCAAGTTTTTCTTCTCGAACTGATTTATGTACGAATAACGATGTTTATGTAGGCCCAGATTTAGAAAAAAATTTTTTTTATGTAATTGTTTTTCCTTTAGTTCTTATGAAATTCAACACATTGACATACAAGATAATATTAGTGGCAGCATAGAGAATCCAATAAAACTCATACAAATTTGTAAATTTTTCAAAAAAGCTCGCGAAGCAATTTGTAAAGCCAAATATTAAGCTAAATATTAAAAGAACGTTGCTGAATTTGCGTAATAATATTTTATATTGATTTTATATAGTATGTATACCATGTGCGAAGAATTATATTTAATAAGTATTTTCTAAAAAACTCTATCGAGATCTGGATCTCACACGTCTGATTTTCAAAAATCTTTCGGAAGAATTTGGCTGAAATCTCTTAAAAACATCCTTTATGATATTTATTGTTTTTCAACTTTATTATAACGAGGCTTAAAAAGGATAGAAAAATTTGCTATGTTTGAGTCGTTCTTCCAAAATTTCTGATTAAATCATCACTGTTCTAAAAACACTTTCCAAAGCTTTATGATGATTGAATGTGAATAGAACTTGTATCCAAAAAATCTTTCTTATAAAAACAATCTCCTTTTTATGGACGCATCTTCACTTCAAAAGTGTAAGCATTTTCACAGAAGTGTAGAATTTTAATTTTGTTTCACAAAAACAAAATCTTAATATTACGTGAAACAAACGTAAAATTTGTTATTACGAGAATTTTCAATTAGAAACAAATTATTCCATTTGTCGGAAAACGTCCTGTCGCTTTTAAAAGTTGAAAAAAACTTTGTAGTTAACTCAGAATCAATAGTAGATTTAACAATATATCAACGTACTGGCTCAATTCTCAGTACTAATCGCAGTCTTCAGTGGTTTTCACTTTACCTTACTAAGAATGATATTTTACAACCATTTTCTTGCTACTTAAACTGTTGAGTTAATTTTAAAAAATAAGGTTCATAAATAATTATTTAAGGAAACTCCCTCATGTAGGATATGAAAACAAGATATCATTCATCAATCATTATAGTTGTAGTATTTTGATGTATGTACATATCTATCTACTTACTTAATATTATTTATTTGTTTTAGGTGCATAATATGTATTTTTGTATTATATATGATTTTTTTGATAAATTTGAGTGTTTTTTATGAAAAATAAATTAAATGCATTAAAATGAGAAAAATAAACATTATTTTCAGTAAAGAGTAGTTACTCTGAAATATAACATTACTATGAAAAAGTGAGTAATTAAATGGTAATAATGTACTTACATTATTCATTTATTTTAAATTATATCATTTGTTTGCTCGAACCTATGTACACATGTCCAAACTTCTTAATTGCAGTTAAATTGTTTTTAAATGCAATCACATGAGCGTAACAAAAAAATTTCTGCGGGTGTTATTGCGAAAAGCCTATTTACCATTAGCAAAGGTAAGATAGTTCAAATCTTACAATGTCGTAAGTTTGACATTATCAGCCTGATCGTGTATCTCGCTTTCTTACTCACTTTTTATTCACTTTCAAATCGGAATTCTCAGTATTTTCTAATGGATGTTGCACTTTTCCAATAAGATTACTTATTTTTTAATTGGATTTTTGTATTTTTTCCCAAATTATCGACTGAATGTTTCACTTTCAAAAACAAAGTGGAAAAATTTTCTATACAGTTTAAAAAAAAAACGAGATGCGCAATCGGAATAATTCTTCTCACTTGAAAATTACATTATAGATACAAGTACGTATATAATTGTTACTCTCTTTCTTCTCACTTTCCGAGTAAAATAGCGAGATAGACGATCAGGACCTATGCATAAAGTAGAGACAAAAATTTATTTTATACTGATTAATATGTAATATATGTTCATATTTGTAACAAATTAATTTTATGTACGTTATCCAGTAAAGAAAGCTAGTTGTTATCGGTGCACTTCAACTTCAACTGAATGCGATTGTGACATAACACCTCTTAAATCAGAAATCTGATCTCTGAGTTTTTGATTTTCCTTTACTAATTCAGAAAGAGTTAATCGTAGCTCATCAGTATCTCTTTTATGTTTTTCCTCTATTTTTTCAATATCCTAAAATTGAAGTCCATAAGTATATGTAGGTACATACTTTCATATATGTATTATAGATGTGTATGTGTATAAAAGTATGTGGATAAAATATAAATATATATACACTTAATATGTGTATCAATGTATTTGTACATATAATGCATTATATAATGATCTTTAAAAAAAACTTACTGTTAGACTTTTTTCTATTTTTTGCTTAATTTGAGCTGGGGATAATTTAAAACCGACGTTTATTAACCCTTCCATACTAGATATTTTCTGGGAAGCTTCTTTTAATTTAGATCTCATTGAATTTAACTCTTCTATTAATTGAACATTTTCTTTAATTAATTTATTCAATTTTCCAGAGGAATCTTTAGCATCGTCCTGTTTTTTGTATGAGGCGGCTATACGTTCTAAATAACTTCTTTGGCTTTCAAATTCATTTTGAACAGACTCTTCCATAATTGTATCCTTTTTTAACTCTTGATCGTCGCAATACTTTTTAAACAAATTTGTAATTCCTTCTTTTAATAAATCCGGTTTGTTCAAATTCCCCGCTACATAATATATATCCGTACATATTTTTGTGGCATAATTTCGTGCTACTTTTGCTCTTTGCTTTTCTAATTTTAACTCGTTAACAGATGATAAATACTTATCTTTCAGTTCTTTTATTCGTAAATCAGATTTTAAATTTGACTCGTGTAAATCTTCAAGTTCTTTTTCCAATTCAATTATATGATTTCGTTTTTCCTTAATATGCTGCTCTCTAGGCTCTATCTGTTCTCTTAATTCAGATATTTTGTGGTTTAAGATTTGCTTATATTTTTCGAGTTCTTGGTTCTTTCGCATTAAATCTTGAATACGCTTTTCTTTTTCAGATATAATAAAATCTCGTTCTTCTAACTCACGATGCAAATCTTGAGTAACTCTAATTTGACGTTCGATTTCACGTTTATCTCGTCTATGCTCTTCTTTGAGAGTATCAACTTCTTCACGTAAATCGTTTGCTTCTTCATTGAGAGAATCATACTTTTTCTTTAATATTCCAGCTTCATCACGCCATTTAAACGTTGTATCTTGTTCGTCTTTCAACTTTTTTTCATAAGCTAGTTTTGATTCAACCATATTTCTATCATTATCTGCTTCAACTTGGCGACAATATTCAACAAATTCATTTTTTTTATCTTCCATTTCTTGCATTAGCTGTCTTATTATTTCTTGCCGTTCATGAAGCTCTTTTTTGAAATCTGTCTCAAGTGCTTCAACGGTATCTTGCAGGCACAAAGCTGAACCTTTAAGTTTTTCTTCATATTTATCACGCATTTGTAGCATATTCTCTCTAAGGTGATTAAACTTGTGAAATTCATTTAACATTCTTTCTGAATATTGATCAGCTAATTCTTGCATTTCCTTATGATGTTCTTCTTTTAAATTATCTATTTTACATGTGATTTGATTTAAGTCTTCAACATGATCCAACTCCATTTTATTGTTTTTATTCTTTAATTCTTCAATAGCTTCACTATAATGCTTGTGTATAGCGGCTATTTCCTGTTCATCCATTGCCTCAGTTTGTATTCGTTTGTATTCGTACTCCTCAACTTGTTGCTTTAAACGTAATTCCAAATTAGCTATGGTATCAATTTTATCCTGTATTACAGTACGTGATATAAGAATCTCTTGACCTTTTAACAAGTCAGGATCAATTGAAGCCACGCGACCTTCGATATTTTTCATAACCCATATTGCTAAGGTTCCTTTGGCTGATGCTGTTATTAAAAGCGTACCGTCATAAGATATGCAACATTTTGTAACAGAACTATTAAAAAATCTGTAGTTTGTGCAAGAGCCACCACCAGCATCCATAAATGGCAACTGGCAATTGTATAAGTGACCTCTTTCATTAGATAAAAATAATATTAAATCTGATTTTGCTAACGATAAACTTAATAGTGGCACATTATTAGACGGTGTTGGAATTTCACGAATCATCAATGAATTTTGAACTTCTCTTAATGTGCCGAGACTTGTTATTGCATATATAGATAATGGTTCAGAATTTGTAACTGCAACTCCTCGAAACTCTATTCCTTTTTGAACAAATTCATGCACCCGAGTTCCAGTTTCAACATCCCATTGATATATTGCTCCTTCTTTTCCACCAGATATGAGATACTTATCATTTCGAGACCATGATAGACTTAAAACATCTCCATTATGTCCCTTTTTTGAAAGAAAAATATGGAATTTAAATTACTTTAAAATATGGAATTTGAAATAATTTTGTGTTTAAACGCTCTAAAATTAATAAGTAGGAAGCACAGAAATATTTAGCTTAAATAAAGAACTACGACTGCTTCCTATTCGTTAGTTAAGTCATGATTTAAAATTTGCTATTGGATGAGATAATCACAAGTGTTGTATTGTAAGTTTTAAGCTTCCTTCATTACATTTTAGGAACTTGGTAAAAATTTTAAAATCTGTTCACAGTGTAATTAAATAAAACTTGAGCACCTTGGAGCTCATTTGGAAACTTAAAAACAATAACAAAAAATAGATTTTGTAAAAAGATTTCTTAAAGAAATAAGGTTTTTTATTAATCTATTTCCTCAACAAATATTATCTAAAAATACTAAAGTATAAAAGTGTTATAGAACTAATGCATATTTGAATAGTGTACTGCAGCATATATGTATGTATCTGAATATGTTTATTGTATGTCATCTAAAAATTTATCAGAAACAATTGTAGTCGTTTATATTACTGTAAAAATTATCTTTAATATGATATAGCCCTATAATAAACATAACATGTAAAATAAAAAATTAATATTAACTAATAACCATATTTCCATAATATCCAATAAACATAATATAATAGTTAAGAGCACACATCAATATATTATGTATATACATATAACGTATAGTCTGTTTATGATACACTCTTCCATGTTAAGATATAAACCAAATCAACTGGTTATTACGAAAATGCCATTTATTCGCAGAAGTAAATTTTTCAGAGGAACAAAAATTTAATTTGCAAGAAAAATATTAATGTAATATTAATATTAGTTTTATTGCATGGATAATTAATTTTCTTTACAACTTTTTACAATGAAAAAAATTTAAATTAAGACATTAATTTATATTTTTTAATCAGACCTTTAAATCAAATTAAAAGCACTGTTAATTGTGATGTTGAACAAAAATTCTGTAATGTTTTAATTATTGAAGGGGTAGGTTTTTGAATATGTGGAATAAATTAAATAAATTAATTAAATAATGGTCTTTTCGAAGTGAAATTTTCAAATTTAAGTAACTACAATCAAAAATTCTGAAACCAAACGAATAAATTTTAGCAGTCATACATAAATAGAAATAAAAGTTTTAGATTTTCGAATTAAATGTACTCACCTTTAATGTTTTTAATATTTCTAAATTATATACTGAAACTATTGCAATACTAGTATCAAATGCGGCTGCCATTAGATGCCCGAAATTTGAATATTTTATGTCTCTGCATCGAGGGAAATTGTATGTTTTAATTATCTTTAAAAAGGGATTTAAAAATTAATACACTAAATTTATAATTAAAAAAAATAAAGACTAACTCTGAAATCGTCCAAAAATATTTCCATAACTCGAAGTTGATCAAAAAATCCTATGGCAACAAAAAATCCATTTGGATTTAATTCTACAACAGTGACTTCTACTTGAAATTTTCTAACTAATTCAACTTTTTCAGTTTCATAGTTCCAGAGACGTACGGTCTTATCTTTTGCTATGGTTTAATAAATGAATTTTTGTTTTATAATATATACTTATTTGCAAAATCTGTTATATATGTATATAAAAAAAATATTTTGTTGCAGCTCAGAATAAGGAAGAAGAATAACTTAACCATCATGAATATTATTTTAAAAAAGCAAAAGTGCTATAGTCATAAATATGTAAATGTGAAAAAATTAATTCTAAAACAGAAAATAAATACAACTATTACTGGAAAATCGATTTAAGTAGTAAATTTTTATTTTTTGTATATGGTTAATTAGCTTTTGAGCCAATATATGTATGTGTAGGAAGAAAATTATATGATAGCGAACCCAAAAATCTGACTACGTGATATCAATCTGATAATAATCTGACACATACGTACGAATTAAGAACACAACATTCGATTTAGATCCGAAAAATCTTAAGTCACATAAGTTTTGGAAAAAAATTCCAAGAGAGCAATTCAATTTTTTTTTTAATTTGTGTTCTTTTACGGTTTCCGATTAGAAAAAATCAAATTTAAATCGTAAAAATTTATTAATTTTTGTTTACGATACTTATTTTTTTAGAATAACAAGAGAATATTATATCTGAAAGAGATACGATACAAAGGAAAAATAAACAAAAATAATCATGTAGCGCTAGCTATGTACATACGTAAATATGTATGTACGTATCTTTTTTAAAATATTGATAAGTAAAAACTTAATTGCACCCACACTAAAGTTTAAATTAAAAATTATAATTGTTGTTAAATTATAGTTGTTGTTTTTTTTTAATATCCCATATTACATATTGGACATGAAAAGCCCTTTGATTTCCTATACTTGATATAAAAACTTACAAGCTGTTATTATAATTGGTCTCCACGAACAAACTGTGACATCAATAATTTCTTCAATATGTATATATTCGCCTAGAGGTTTGAAGTCTAAAAGTTGGGTTTGTAAAGAGGCGGGAACTATTAATTTACCATAATAAATTTGATTGTGTTTAGCTGTAACAATTACAGTGTCCTGTTGAGCATTCACAGATATATTACAAATTTGGTACAATTTTTCTGGATATAAATCAACTTTTAACGTTAATATTGTTTTACGAATAAATTTAAAACGGGATTCTTTCTCAAATACAAATACTTGGTTAAATATTACGTATGCAATTCCTTTGGAAAATACAGTCAAGCACACAACACTTTCATCACGTTTCCAGCTGTCGCCAGCACTGCGTTTTGGTCCACTTTCCAATGCCAAAGCATCGGCAACCGCTTCTTGAGCTTGTTTTTCGACAGTATCCTCTTCTTGTTCAGCTGCTAAATCAATTATTTTTGTGTCGATTGCACTCATTGTAAGCTTTAACTCGCTACCTTCATAAATAAAAATTCTGGAATCTGAAGTGCCTGCAATACATGTATCTAAACTTAACCAGCCCAATGATGTTAGACGAACACCCTCTTTACGGATTGTTGTTGTGCAATTAAAACCTTTTTCCGATGTTGACATCAATTTAAAAATATTTTCTCCTCCAAGAGCAAACATAGCTGAATCTTGGGGATTGGAAGCAATGCAGTCTGAAAACCCGTTTTGATTAACCTCGGTAGCTCTACCCATTATAATTGTTCCACTTTTGTCAAACATAAAGAGAATCACGGTTTCCTCTGGTGGTTTTGTTAATATTATAATTGAACGTGAATCTTGAGTAAATATCATTTGTGCTATTTCATATGATTGTTTGTAAGTTAGTGATTTCGGTGGAATAAAACTTCGACGTTTTTTCATTGTAATTAAGTCATATACTGAAATGTTATAACTATGGCAACAGAATTAGAATCCCTAATAAAAATCTTTAGGTAAACTTACTTCTCATCGCATTTAAATTCCACAAAACTTTCCAAAATTGCCAACATTCGTCTATCAGGACTAATGCTAATAATTAGCGGTTTTGTATTTTCTGGTAATCTAAATATTTTAAAAATAGTAAAAATTGCTAAATATTTTTGCAAGAAAATTAATTTTTACCTAAGAAACTTTTGTTTATTTGTTACAAAATCATGAAAAGCCAATACGCTCTCTACTGGATATATAATTTCTCGTTTTAATGTAAAATGTATATTACCACGAATCTCCGATCGAATTCCATAAACCGTTTTCGGCTGAATAGTGACTGTTTTCAAAACTGTATCGTCCATTTTTTCTTCTTTTTTTTTGGTTTTAGAGTTAATATAATATTAATGTTTTTTTAGTGCTAAGTTTGTTTTTTTTACATTAAAACAGATTTTGCAGATAATTATTGTGTAATGTAAATTAGCATGCTTATAAATAAAAAATGTATAAACATTCAAAACTGTAAAGAATAATTTGCAACCTTATTAGGTAGGTACGTAAAGATATTTTTTGACATATTTTTGAAAAAAGTATTGATCAAACATTAAAAAGATTGTTTTTATCCCATAAAATACATACATACATAAATACAATGCATATGGAGACATTTATAAGTATATTAAGGATATCGGAATTTTTTTCACATTATGCAATGGAATTTGAATATCAATAAGCTGCATTTAAAAACAAATATGTAGGTACATATGTACATTTAAAAAAGTACGAAAAATATTATTTTTCCGCGAATAACGGAACATATTGAACATTTATCAATCAGTAAATTTCCTTTATTTTCACATTATAACATATTAACAAACCTTCGTTATTAAAACTTTTGAATTTTTAATTCAGAAAATGTATTAATTATACATATCATTTTAAGTACGTTTGCAGAATATGATGAAATACATACATAAACATGGTTTCATCAAGACCGCTTTCAGAAAATTGATAGTTTCAGAACAATGTTTAAATTAATTAGTTTTCTTGTTTTAAAAATACATTATATGTTTATTTAGTTCAAGTATCTCTTTGAAAGAACTTACATTCAAATTACAATAATGAAAAGAAAATAATTTATATTTCTAATTTATTTTTGCATAATTGTGGATATAGTTTAATCATCTTCTACAATAACGAGATCATCATCTTCCATGTCATTAGAAACTATTTTCGCTCTTTTCACAATAGATGATGATGATCCCTCCCCTGCATCATCAACCGGGGCCATTTTCCGTTTTAAATTATCACCTGTTGATGAGTGTTGCACGATCATACAATCATCTTCACTACCAGCGTCATTTATACCACTTTCTTTATTATTAGAGCCTGAGTTTCCGTTGTTTTCAAAAATTACTCCGTCATCTATTCGCGCTTTTTTATTCTCTGTTGCTCCAACAATTTCCTTTTCTTCTGTTTTTTCTTTACATGATTCTGTATTATCAGATTTTGCTTCGCTATTTTCACCATTTTTCTCTTCTTGCTTCGGCTTTAATGTATCTGGATCTGCAATTACTTCAAATAAAGGTTTATCACGTTCAGCATCGGCATGTGTTATGATAACACTTAGTTCATAATTTTGTAAAAAGTCATCCACCTTTAGTAAAGCACCATCGCATATTTGTAGTTCAATCAATTTTTTATCATTATTGCATTCTGTTTCATCTTCTTCCGAAGATATTACAATTACCCCCTTAGCGTCTAATGTCGCATCAGGTTCGATCATGTTAAGTGCCTTTTTCAAAACGTCGTCTCGCAGTTCTCTTACAGTCATTTTTTTTGTATCAACTCTTAAATAAACTGTAGGTTTTGAAGAGCAAACGTAGCATTTTGGATTTGGTGGGTTTATCTCTGTATAAAATTAAAAAAATATGAGCAATGAAATAGTATTTCATCTTATTTAAATATTATAATAGACTCAGTGGAAAAAATACTCAAATAAAAATTTTTTAATGTTATTAAAATAATAATTCAGTGCAGACTCACATTTCGCGAACTCTGCTTAAGGTATTTTTTCTTTTAGTCATTACAAATAAGTTTACGCTTTACAATCTTAAATAAAAAACTTACCGTTTTCAGGAACTAGAATCAAATTTCTTGGATTAGGTCTTATTCTAACGAAAACTGGTTTACATTTTTCCAAATTATTTGTAAGAACTTTAAAAGCTTGCATTACTACAAGACCAGCGGTGATTGCATTTGTTGTCGCAATAGCTGGAATGATGTTTCCAGCCATAGATTTAATATCAAATCGACTTTTTTGGGGTATATTAAAAATCTGAGAACGAATGTTTGCACAAGCTGCCACAAAATCCATAGCATCTTTTTCGTCTTTATCCCAAATCAAGTGATCATTTTCCTTTAGTTTTTTTATCTCTGTTTTTAAATTATTAATACTGGAAGCAAAAATTTTTGCACATTCTGTTATAGTCCACACTTTTTGATCTGGTAAAACTGATGCACCGTCTACTTTAGCAGTACCAGAATCAAAGCTTACAATATCATTATACTTGATTGGTATAGGTCTCATTCGAGTTTTCCAAAGGTTGGACATGCTTAAGAGATATTTGATGTCATCGTAAAAAAGCTTATTAAATATTTTTTCAGCATCATAATCAATATCGTGTGCCCATTGCCTTGTGTTTATTCGATTGACATTACCTTTTTCATTTGATTTTGTATTAAGTGCTTCCTGTCCAGCATCACCACCAGCTTCCGGGTCGGCTGTATCTGGGGAAACCTCTTCATCTTCGTTCGCCTCACCAAACAGTTGACTTCAATTTACATTAGTACAAATAATTAATTTAAAACAAACTTATCACTTACTTAAAGAGATGTTTTGCCCATACAATGCAATGAATTGGCTCAGATGGTGTATTTCGTATAGTACAACCAGGGTAAGTTTTTTGTGTGGGTTTAGGAGTGCATTCATAACATTGTGTCAAACCTTTCTTAATTAGTTCTACTTGTCCATTATATCCAGCTGTACCACTCTCTATTAGAGGAACATCAGCATTTAAGCACATTCGATTGACGTGATTTCTAGCTTGTAAATTATCCAAAGCATTTAAAACTAGGTCGAAGTTTTTAAAGAAATTAATTCCATAATTAGCACTAAAAAAATATTTATTATTTTACCAAATCGAAAATTAATGTTTACTCAAGAAATTATTTACGTAGTAATGCTATCGTGGTATGATTTTATATTAACATTCGGATTGAATTTTAGAGCACTTTCCTTAGCAACTTCAGCTTTTGATTTACCAACATGTTCTTTGTGAAACAGAAATTGGCGATTTAAATTACTGACATCTATAGTATCTAGATCAATCTGAAATATTTATATATGTATGTACATACATTCGTACATATTTACATAAAACATAAATTAATTTTAAAATAAATCTTACTATTTCAATGTCTTGAAAACCAGATAAAACCAAATTTTTGAGGATTTCACAACCAATACCTCCTGCTCCAACAACTAGTATTTTGCTTTCGGAAATTTTTTTTTGCAAATTTGATGGTAAAACACCGGTCACTTGAGCCGCCATTTCTTACTTAGTAAAAGTACAGAAAAAAAAAGAATTCTACAAATAGCGAATACTTTGTGTCAAATAAATGAGTGTTTTTTAAACAAAAATTATTTTTTATAAATATTTAACTGCTTAATAATAATTAAATTAATTACTTATTAAAAAAGCGTGGCTTCTTAAATTCTTTTTTTGTAAACTTTTCAACGTCAAAATACTAACCATACCCTGAAGTTAAAATTATTTCACCACAGTGTATTAAATTAGTATTAGCCAAAAAACGTACACAGTAATTGAGATTCAAGCGGAGTCTAGTGGCATTTTTTTGAACAAATGACATTTAAATACACTTTTTCTACATATTATTATTAATATTACAATTTTTCTTAGTAGGTCTTGACATAACAACAAATCAAAATTTGTAAAACTAAGAAAATTTTTCTTAATAATTAACTCAAACCATCCGAATTGTCCCTATTTTGGTTAAAACGTAATATCCAATTTTAATTTGCCTATTTAAAAACAAAAGTTATAATAGAACATAATTGTATAACTTTAATTTTACTCGAACTGAATTTAATTTCTAATTAAATTCTTACTAAATATATATTTTGTTCACCATAGAATATAAACAAAACTCAAAGCGGAAGAGAACGTGTAAGTGAGTTGCCACAAACTTTTCATATTGTCAATTCGTGTTGGTCTATGTTGCGTGTAAATGCAGTGCGAATAGAATGTGAAATGCGGTGCGCTTAATTTCAGTCACGCCTTTAGTCCCTTCACTGAGCACTCAAATGCCAGTATAAAAAATGTCGTAATTAATTGTTTACATCAACTGTGTGCGACGTTTGTTTACTAGATACACCACGTGTTGTTGTAATTGTACATTCACACATTGGAGACAAATTTAAAATAATTTTGGGTACAAGTAAATTATCATTTTAAATAATAATTATTGTTTTCCTCTTGTTATTATAAATTTAAATTAAAGTAAAAATGTCAATGTTGGCAGATAGAAGAAAAAAAACAAATTATTGTCTTCAACCAAAAGGAAAACCTCTTCATAATGGTTTGTTTAAATATTATGTATTATATTTTTATTTGTTATATATGTAAATAATCAATTGAAAAATTTCAGATTCTAATAATTTTGGTGTGAAAATGCTTGAAAAAATGGGATGGGTACCTGGAAAGGGCTTAGGGAGAAATGAAAGTGGAAATCAAGAATTTATAAGAATTAAATATAAACATGATATAAAAGGTTTAGGTTATAGTGAAAAGGATGATCAATGGACTGAGCATGAAAAAAACTATAATAGCCTTTTAAATAGCCTCAGCAACTATGGATCAGATAATTCCAATGCTTCAGATGTCAAAAAAACTCATTCAAATAATTTTAATTCTGAAGACAATTCTAATTATGTAAAAACAAGCGGTGAATCTTTAGAAGAAAAATCAAGAGCATCTAGGGCTCGTTTACATTACAAAAAATTTACGAAAGGAAAAGATATTTCGCAATATAGCAAAAAAGATCTTGCAAATATCTTTGGAAAAAAATCTTTCGAAATTTCGGAGACAAAGGTAAATGCTCAAAGCGAAGCAAAAACTGGACATACTGAGAAAATAGATAATAGTTTGATTTTTAATGCGAGCTCGTCTGTTCAAGATTATTTTAAAGAAAAAATGAAAAAGAGAAAATTAAATAATGAAGATGAAGAAAGTTCTCAGAACCTAAACAAATATGAAGAAACAAAAAGTGACAAATGTTACAAAAATAAAATTACGGAAAATATATTGGAAATGAAAGCTGAAAACGTAGTTAAAAAAAAGAAGAAAAGCAGGAAGGTGTCTGAAGATATTTCAGAAAGCATCAATTTTGACGGTATAATTCAAGAAAATAATACGTCAAAATCGGTCGGGGATACTAAAGTTAAGAAGCGCACAGTAAAAAATAGTGATATTGGAGATCAGGTATGTACAGAGACTTTAAAAGAGGAATGTTTTCAAATAAAGCTATGTAGCGAGAAAAATATTGATAAAAAGTTTCAAGACGAGGCTGAAAGTATGGTTGAAAAAAATTGTTTAAAGAAGAAAATATCCAAACAAAAAACAAAGGTCAGCGATAAAATTGACATAAATTCTCCAAACCACCAAAAATTTATAATAGAATCTAGAAAAACTACAAATGATGATGCTTCTGCAGAAATTAAAGTAGAAAGAAGTAAACCTGATGTGAAAAATACGCAGGAAGAAAGTAAGTCGAATGAGGAAATCATGGAATATGATATTCAATTTAGCGATTCTAATGTTTATAACTTTGATGAAACTAATGATCAAAATTTTCTGGAAATAACTAAATACTGTGCCGAAAAATTCCGTCATACAAATTTGAATGGATTTAAAGGCTCAAACTTGAAAGACCTGTGTGGTTACGGATTACCAAAGAATTTTGAAGTGAAAATCAAAACTACTAGCAGCTGTAATGAGCAAATAAACAATTTCTATAGAAGTGGTATTATAGACATATCATTAAGTGATAAATATGGAATCAGTGATAAAAAGAAACTTGAAAAATATAGAAAAAAGGTTAGGAAAGCAAGACTATTGAAAAAGAAAATACCCAATTTTAATGTGAAGCATTTAAAAAAAAAATCACTTTTTAAGCAAGTGAAAATATAATTCAGTGTATACGTTTTTAACTCCTATTCAACTCTTCGTACATAGGTATTTTATTGAAAATAAACTATTTCGTTAAAAATTATTCTTTTCTTAAAAAAATAAATTAAGTATATGTAATTTAATTTTAAGTATACAATTGATTTATTTTACACCACTTTCAATACATAAATTGAAAATACACTTTTTATTTACAGTTATATGCTAAATAATTTTATTTAAGTGTCTGTTTTATCTTCATAGGTTATTATACCTTTTTCAATTAAATCCGGTATCTCGACGGCCAGCCATGGAGCTAACTAAAAACATGTATATGCTTCATAAAAAAATCTTGCAAATACGGAGTCATATTTACCCCAAGAGCCATCGCATGAGCTATTCCAAATTTTGGAACATTTCTTGCCCAAAGTGGCTTAAAGTGATCTGTCAAACATATTTTACCACCCCTATACATTTTTGCAGTTTTTCCATCCAATTCAGGTAACGCAATTTCTGGTGCTGTAGTTGGGTACGTAACAGGAATCTAAAAGTTCAATATATGAACGTAATTAAACGAGTATTTTAAAAGTGTTTTCATATTAACATCAAACTCAACGTCGAACTCGTATTTCAATAGGTTGTGCATGTACCAGCATTTTCCAAACCATTTCGTTCCATCTTTATTTGATTCTAACCTAAACCAATCTGTCCCAGAATCCTTATTGTTTTGAACATACTGAAGCAAATCTTTATAGTTTTAGTTTATATGTAAGTATTTTCATCGCGTTTACCTTAATCAATGCTTGATATTCTTCCTTTAGTCGCTGAACCCAAATATCTCTTTCTCTAGGTCCGGCTCTAGTTTGTAACAATGGTATATTGCTAAGAGTTTTACGAGTACTTTCATCAACCATTTCAATGATTAACAAACTTTAAGATTTTTTTAATTTAATTTACACTTTACAGTAATTCTTGAACAATTCTTGAATATTGCCATTAAACACGTCATCACTATTATAAACAAAAAATGACATTCAATTTGCGTTGGCATATGACATATCCAACCCAAAATGCCAAATGGCCATTTCCACATTTAGTTGCAATTCTAATTGTAATGAGCAATGAGTAATCATTTTCGCATCAATATTGTCGTGTCAGTAGCCTGTTCCAGTATTTGGAACCGCGATCTTCTGATTTCTTTTTTGACTGAGATATGTAAACATCATTAGACTTGGTAGATTTAGGTCCCTGTCATCATTGCCACAAAAAATGATTGAAAGGTGAAATGAATGAAAGACAAAAATCAAAGAAAAGATATGTGCATAATAATCAGTTGTACCACTCTTTTGTTTTTATGACACCGAATTTTTTTCCATATAAAATTGCAATCCGCAATGGCAAGTTTTTGACAATTCATTTTTTAATAATGGGTGTTGACGACACTAAAAATGAAAGTTAAATAAAAAAACATTTAAGTAAAAACATTAAAATTTAAATTGGTTTAAAGGCGCTTTTAATGTTTATATTTTTATAACCTTGAAGCCAAAAAAGTGACATTGTTTAAAAGTGAGACGTTCAGTCGATAATTTGAGAAAAAATGTCAAATTCCAATTGAAAAAGTGAGTAATTTTATTGGAAAAATGAATTTAATTATTTGAAATGATTACACGGCTTTAATGTAAAAAATGTTTATACTGTTGACACTGGGTTCTTTGGTTCCCAAAACGACAAAAAAGGAAAACACCAACGTGAAAATACATCAAACAACCAGTTGCAGAAGAACGTCAAACTAATTGGTACCCACTCATTAATATTATGTCAGATTTACCGCGATGTTATTATATTTTTCGATAGTTTCACCTTTAGTGAAATTATTGATAGACTTGGTAATACTTTAACTTGCTGTGATTCTTTTTTTGCAATTTTTATTTTGACTGTCATTTGTGCGGCAAAACAAACATTTTTTTTTTGTAAATTTTTCTTTAATAATTTTCTTAATTCTATTTGAAGGTATAATTTATCGAGTTTACTTTTATATTTTTTGGAACAATAATATAATTAACATTTCTTAAAGTATAAACTTCAATTTCTTGAAATATATTAAATTTGATAAAATTAATAGCTTTTTAAGAAAACGCATCATCTTTCTATACAATAGTTTTTTTTTAAACTTAACTTTCATTTCAGAGTTTGTTTTAATTTTTTCAGATTTACTTAATGGATTCCATAAAAATACCATTGGTACCGCAATGGAATTTAATATCATCTTGCACATCTACACCAAACGATGGTTTCCTTTATATTGGTTCTAAATGTATCAATTACGTATCAAAAATTCTACCATATACAAAAATCGATGACGGTCACTTACCCGAAGTTAAGGTCTTTCATACAAGGCAACAAGTAAAAGGTATTGACTGTGATCCAGATTGGTCAAAAGAAAAATATTTCGCTGCCTTGGTAGGGGATAATTCAGTACAAATTTGGGATTTTGATAAAGGAAAAGCAAAAATTGGTCATAAAGCCCATATAAGACAAGTACATGGTGATGGCGATGGACCTCCATTAGAAAATGTGCGAATGTGCTTCCTAAAAAACCGGACAGTGCTTTCTGTTGATTCATCAAATTTAGTGATATTATGTCTTGCTTCAAATACTTATATTAAAAAAAGGAGAATCATTCCATTGAAACATGATATTTCTATTATTAAAGGATCGCCTTATGATGAAAACATATTTGCAGCAGGAACTACACGTGGTTTGATTCTGCTTGTAAATTTGAAAAATGAATCTACACTATTTACTTTACGTGGTCATGATACAGAAATAACTTCTTTAAGCTGGAATGGGATTGGATGTAATAGGTAATAAATTAAATATTTTTTTAAATGTACAATTATTAAAATTTTCTTTCTACAGACCTGAATCTTTGCCCCTTCCAACAAGATTAAGCGAAGAAACGCTTTCTTCAAAGCCAACATTGAAAACAGTAACAAACACTACACCAAAAAGCGCAAATAAAAAAAAACAATGCACGAATAATGATGATATATTTGATATATATGACTATGACTATTTAGAAAATGAATTTGGTGCTCCTCCTTCGAAAGTAAATTATAAAAGTGATGACGAATATTTTATAAAACATAATCAGGTAAAAACAGAACCGGACTTTGTTGGAAGTGAAAATTTTGATTTTGCTGAGGCATGCCAAAATCTTAAAGAAGATATAATAGCTCTCAAAACGGATTCACTTGCAGAAAACGATCAGCCCAAAATATCTATACAAGTTGATTTAAATGACTGCAAGTTGGCGATTGATACTTTAGGTAGCAAAAATAATTCAGTTTCAACCGTTTCAAATGATGGAAGCCTAGAAATGTTGGATCGTAGTTCTGAAGAAAGTTCTTTAATTGCCAATCATGAATTAGTTCATAAAGTTGATGTTCATCATCCTGGAATTATTTCCAAACTTGATGATGTAACTGATTCGAATAAAATAGGCCAGCCAAAAGATGTTATATTAGCATCTGGAAGTCACGAATCAGTTGTGTGGATCTGGGACACAAAAAATGGTTCGGCAATCGATAAAATACACTTAAAAACCTCTTCGCAAAGTAAGTTTTGTTTTATAGTATGTAATATTTACATCTTTCATGACATATTTTTACTTTTTTTAAGATTCTTTTATTGAAGTATGTTGGTTGAATCAGGACTCACTTTTGACTAATACAAGAGCTGGTGAGCTCGTTCTTTGGGAAAAGAAAACAGATGAAACCAAGCAAAAAACTTGCTTCAAACAATCAAAACGAACCTTCTCCCATCGTGGGGTGGTTTCTCTTTGTAAATTGAAGAATTCTGAAACTATATGGACCATATCATTTTATCGTGAAATTACTTGTGAGGATATTAACGAAAATAAAATAATAGCGAAATATTCTTGTGCGTCTACTAACATAGCATCTATTAGAGAAAGGCCCGATGACATGAATAAGTAATTACTATCAAATGTATTTTATTTTATTAAATTTGTTTCTTCTTAGAATCGGCTTCGCGTGTGCTGATCGCCGCATTGGAATTTTAAATATTTCAAATATATCCTCCAACAATATTTATATAGAAAATTGCGCAAACAAAATTGAATCGGCTGTGATGTCTATAGCTTGGAGTTCTTATGATTCTTTATTAGCCTTTGGCACTATGGAAGGAAGGGTAAATATGTTGAAGAAAATATAACTAAAATAATTTAATTTTCGTTAAAGATTGGAATTCTTGATTCTGAAAAACCTGCCAATGCACCTGTAAATTTCAATCCATTTTGTGGAAAACCTATCTATTGTATACAGTGGCAAGAAAATAAAATTTTCGCTTGCGGAAACAAAAAAATAGCTGTTTATTCTAGCAATAAGAAAAATAAAGGTACGATTATGTGCTATAGCAGTGAGTTTGCTTTCACTTTAACAGTACATTTGTATTTTTAAAGATCCGTTTGTGTTGGAAAATATAAATGATGCATCAACATTATCTCTTCATGGAAGATTTCTTCTGGTTGGTACTAATTCTGGAGCAATCGAACTTTATTGCAAACTTCAAGATTCGTCCAATTTAAAGTATGAGCTTATTAGCAGCAAATCTGTCTCTTCAAAATATATAAGTGAAATTAGTTGGAGTCCAATTAGAACAACTCATTGTGTTGTAGTTTCTTTGACAAATAAAATATGGGTTTTGTCTTTGACAAATGATGGAAAATTAGATATAGAAAAAACGTACTATCTTGGCGACAATGCTCTAGGAAATGCTTCTGCAAAATGGAGCAATCGAAATGAGAATCTTTTTTTAACATGCGGTTTTGATGGAGCCGTTCGCATATGGGACATAAGCAACAGCAGTACCGAAAAGTGCATATTTTTAAAGCAATTTAATTGTCCAATGCTATGCGGTCTTTTTTCACCAATTGATGAAAATGTCATTATATGTGCTGGAAAGGCCACGTCTATCGAAATGTTCAACATGAAAACCGAAAAAGGATCCGAATTCTCAAAGTCAATGTGGAAGAGAAATAAAGATAAAGCATTCGCAGATGTACAATGGGCTACCAAAATGGTGATACCGAATACGAATCCTGGGAGAGATCGTAAAAAAAATCGGAAACAGCGTGGTATCCAAAGTAATATCATGAGCACAACAGAAGAATCTGAAACAAAAGAAGTAATTAAAATGTTGGAAAAGGTTGAAATAGCAAAAGACGAATTACACACAGATTCATCAGGTTGTGGTGCCTTATTTTTAAAAGTAATATGTCAGCAAAATAAATCTTGTAACATCCAATAAGTAATTTTTTCTTATAGAACCATTCTACAATGCTTCATTTAGTAGCAAAAGAATCAAACAAAGATGCTTTGGAAAACTTAATGAAGGTATTACAAGATACTAAAGAACTTAATGATGTTAAAAGTAAGAAACTGCTGTCTCAGAGGTTATTTGGAAGTCGTGATGACGTTAAAGAATTATTAGATGAAGAACGTAAGCTATCAGTTAACATACTGATGCAAAACCAAATTTTTGTTAATGATTTTTTTATAGTTAGAAATCATCAGACATCTGGAACAAAATCTATTGCAAATTTGCTTATTCCGCAAATCACAGGAGATTTAAAAGAAGAAATCCTTAAATGTGTTCAAAATAAAAAAATGACTGAATGGCATGTGTCTCTTGCACCAACAATATCTTATGAGTAAGAAGGAAATTTTTTATATTTTTATTGCTAAATATAAATATATTTTAGCTTTTGGAAAAAATGTTGCATTGCATACGCACATCAATTACTCGAATATGGATTAGTGTTACAAGCATCTACATATCTTTTAGCATGTCATGATGTAACAGAAGTAATAGAACAATTTCTTAATGGAAATTACTATCGTGAAGCATGGATGATTGGTAAAATATATAGAGAACTTGATGATCCAATACTTGAAAAGATCCTAGACAAGTGGATTAGCTATTTAGAAATGAATGGTCATTTCGAAGGAGCTGCTTTTATGTAAGTCAAAATGGCTCAATATAGTTGAAGCTAAATTGATTTTATATTTCTAGATGCGCTCTTAGCAGACAATACAAAAAATGTCATGATATATTAAATAAAAGACAGCGGCCGACTGGTGAACATTCAAAAATTTTAGACTTTCTTACTGTAAAATTGCATGAAGATAACCAACAGTAAAATGTATTCATATATTAAAAAACAATTATTATAATATTAAACTATTAAATGAACAACAATTTCTAAAGTCAATTTGAATTAAAATTAACATTGTTTTTTTATTATCATAATTAGAAATATTAAAAAATTTGATATGAAATATATTCTCAAATGTTTCGTAAGAGTCGTTATGGTTCTATTTGTTCTTTGAATAAATATAGATGTTAAGTTAATAATTTTAAATATTAAAATAGAGTTATAATAAAAATTCTATGAATTTAATATAACATAAGATAATAAAATTTTAATTGTTTTTTACAACATTTAGCATTTTTTGTCATGGAAACTTGTTTAGACGGAAGTAAAAATTGAATCTTTGTAATAGTATCAAAATGGAAATAAATTTGAGATTCATAAGAAAATTTTTAATTTTTAAAAAGTTTATAAATAAAATTATTAATACAAGTGATGGATAACTTATTTTCTTCACTTAAGCTGTACTTACATAGACCAATATGTAAATTTTTTAATATAAGAAATAAGATTAACACTTCAAATATTATTTAATTTACATACTGAATTTTAAGAATTTTAATAAATTTTGATGATTGTTTAGCTAATTGGTGTATATTCAGGCGAAATTTCTACTTTACACCAGTTTCGGCATTCATTGGATTTGCATATTGCATCTATTACTGATCGGACATATAAACCGTCTTCAAAATTAGCTGCTGCTTGTACTGGCTCTTTAACCCATGCATTTTCATTTTGCGAAAATGATTCTTTCAGTGCGCCAACCATTTTGCATAAACCTTTGATATATGGTTTTGGTAAAGTAGAGTCCAATGTTGAAAAATGTAAATCCTGAACGTCCACATATACAGCTTCCTCCCTTTGCAAAGATTCGTCTTTTATTTTCATAACAAATAAATCCCCCCCGCGGACAACCAAATGTCCATCGCGACCGCAAACCATTATTTCTTGAAAGAATGTATTTGAAGCAACAGTGTTACCAAATAAAGACGCCGATACCAGTACGTTGCCTTCAACTTCTAATTGAAATGTACAGTAATCAGGTGCAGATATTTGTCGTATACCGTTGACGTTGGCATTCGATATTTTATAAGTTCTAATAAGACCATGTGCTCGCGTAGCTTTTTTACCATTCAAAAGAAATTTTACCAAATCTATTACATGACTTCCGACTAGATTTAGTATTCCTCCGCCCATAGATGCGTCACACATCCAATCGAACTTGCTACGAAGCAACTAAAATATAACTTTCGTTTTTAAATAAATCATGGAAGTTGTGCAAAAACTTACAGATCCGATATGAACTCGAATGTCTATCAACTCTATTTGACCAATCATACCATCTGCTATATGGCGCTTCATATGCGTTATCGCCGGTAAAAATCTTAACGAGTGATTAACTAACGATATTAACGCTGGATAATACTGACTTGCTCTTACCATTTTCAATGCATCAGATTCACATATTCCCATAGGTTTGTCACATACAACGTGTTTTCCTATTCCTAAAGCTTTTACACTAATTTCTGAATGCAAATACGGTAAACATATTATGAAAACCAAGTCAACATCTTTCCGCAATAAAACATCGTCAATTTTATTAGTAAAGAATGGAATGTTAAGGTCTTTAGCGGCTTTTTCAGCATCACTTATCGTTTTTCCTAAAATGTTTTATTTTTGCGTAGAGCATGTAAATGTACATATTTTTCAGGAATTTTGAAATTGAAATAAGTTTGCTACATGAATCACTTACCCCAAATTGCTTTTATACTAAAATCCTTTTCACGCAAAAGTGGCACGAAAACTTTTGCCACTTCGCCTGTTCCGAAAACTCCAATACCAGGTAGCATTTTCTTTTTTTATTACTTACATATATAAAAAAACTTCTTTATATTATTTTTAATAAATTTTTATCATTTGTATGGAAACAAAAATACAATAGGTATTTCTCATCTAATCTAACTTCAATACAATCATAACAATAATAAATTACCTGCGTCTAAAATAGATAAGTTAACTATCACTTAACAGAACAAAGTTTTGTTGTGTTTTAATTCTAATTCCGAATTTGGTGGCGTACTTGTAGTAACAAATAATTATATTTATTTGTTTTGTTATGTCACTTACGTCTTTTGACAGCTGACAGCGTCAATAATTTAGATAAATTATTTGTTTTTCCAAAACATTTTTTACTTAGGACAGGAACCACTTTTTCCAAAAGTTGCTTTTTTTTAGTTACAAAAGTAGATTAACGTACACGTCGGCGTTACTTGTTTTCCGCAGAACAACCATTCTGTATAGTTACATTAATGTTTTTATATCTAACAAGTCCCAATGCTCAGAGAGAAACTTGAAAGCACACCTTATTTTATATGGCCTTTTTTAAATCGAAGTGGCTATTTTTTGAGAAGAAATATTAAAATAAATTCACACTTATTATAAAGCAGGTAAAATTTAGAACATATATTTGAAAAATCAAAAAAATATATTAATATTTTCATTGATAATTATTTTAAAATTTAAAAAAAAGCGGAAAAACAACAAACACAACCTTCGCCTTCAACGTTTTATTTGTTACTGAAAGCATTTCATTATTTTTAAGTGAACAGCTTTTTTTTCTCATAGGGTAAGTTAACGCAAGATATGGGAAGTACCTGTGGTGTCAAGTTGAAAATATAATTAATGAAAGATAATTCTTAAATATTGATATAAATACATAGTAAAGAAAAAATTTGAAGAGGGAATTAGAAAATAATATCTAAAATACAATCAAATATTATTTGTTAAATACAAATTTTATATAAACTTCAAAATTTTACCTCTATTTTTATTTGAAAAAATATTAAAAATTTCCTATAATTTATATCAATTACCTAAGAAAAAAAAATATTTAAAATGTTTGGAAAAAACAATCATATATTTTTATGACCGGATTTGAATATTTTTCTATTTTTGAAATAAATGGTATTTTACCAAATGACTCGAAAATTCCGACTGTAAAATAACAGGTATTTTAAAATTTTTGTTCAGGTATTTTAAAATTCTTTCCGTTTAGAATTAAGATAGGTCATACATACACATGCAGGGACATTAAATAGATTGCTCTTGTTAACCTGCTAATAAAATATGAAAAAAGAGCACAGCAAAATTTTTGAAGCACTCAATATAACATGTTTGAAATAGTTTTAAAATAATTATTTAAAAAAAAATTTGTTGGAAGTAGGTACATACATACATATTTATTTTAAATAACTTAAAAACTAACTAAAATTATTTGAAACAATTTTATAAGTAACGTATAAATAACCGAAATGAGATAATTCAAATTGTTGAAATGTGTCAACTTATATTACTTTTAATAACATTTTTGTTAGCCGACACTACTCAACTTGCCTTATTGGGAAATACAAAATGTGCATAAAAAATCATACATCCTTCCTCATTAACATTTGAAACCATACTGAAATATGAATTTGAAATTTTTTTTCATTTTTTCTTTCCTCCTACCTTTCTTTCTTTTTCGTGCAATAGAATTTAAATGGGAAGCTTTTTAAAAAATGTGTATAATATCCTGAGATTTTTTAAAATATTAATCTCTTTTTTACGTAAAAAAAAAAGAAAAAAATAATAAAAAATATGACACGATCAGTGGCATTTAAAGAAAAAACCAACAACGAGGCCAAAAATTCGTAACATTTCGTAAAAAAAATTGAGTATTGGGACTTGTTAGATATAAAGACATTAGTATATCTACTAATAAGTAATTCGACTCGTTCCATTCCGTTAGTTTTCGTTTGCATCTTGCTTCCAAATTCTTAAAATATTCCATTTTTTTGTAGAAATAGATGGTAATAAGAGTTGCGTAGGCAAGAAAGAAACAAAATATTGTAAACAAACGAGTGTATCAAAAACATTGAACTAAAATAAAATTAAATTAAGTTAGGTAAAAATTTTGTTATTTTTATTTTAATAATAACAAAATTTATTTTTCATTTTATAAAACTTAGGTAAGAAATTCGAATGTATGAAAGCAAAAGAGTTTGAAATTTCATGTATGAATGTACACATGCATGTACCTGGTACAGTAGATACACAGTATCAGGTACATGCATGTATCACAGTGATATAGAAATAAAGTAATTTATAAAGAAAAAAAGGTGTATGCATACTGATCACTTTATGAAATATAATCATTGCCGATTCATAGGAAATATGTTTTAAATTTATTAAGATTGAAATAAAATAAAAAAAATTTAAAAATAATTTATTTATTAATAATAATTATTAATTATAAATGCTTAACACTAAAAATTTAAAATATTTTCAAAAGTACATATTTACCTCTCCACATCTTAAAGCAACAAATGAAATTTTCGTGTCGGCTTTTTTGCCTCACACACAATATTACATCCCAAACACTTCAAATAATGTTTACTCATTATTATAAAAAAAATTTTTTTTTTTACAACTACTTAAAATTTTTTTTAATATTATACGTCTTTTTAAAATTTATTTTTATTATTTTTCATATAAATTATAATAATTTTTTTTAAACACTTTTTTTCCGCTTCGGTTTTATAATATGAATGCACCTTTTTTCCCAGCTTGTACTGGAATGAATTACGGAAATTATTGTGTCGCTTTTAAAATTCTTAATATTTTTCCCTATACTTTATATAGGAAAAAATAATAAAGTGTCGCCTTTCAAAATTACATTAAAAAAAAACATGTTGACAACTATTGCGTACTCTTTCCCTCTCCCAAAAATTCTTGTGTGTATAAAAATGAAAATAAGAAAGTATACTGCTTAACTCTTTTAACTAAGGGAATTTTTTGTATACAAATATTGGTGAGTGATTGCATTAGTGTGATGTAAACGAAGAGTCGAACTACTTGTTAGTAGATATACTTTGATTTAATCTACTATAAAGTCTGATAACTGTTTGTAAACAGACTGAAATTTTCAAACGTCAAAATTTAACAATAATTATGCTGAAAAAAATTAAAAATCTGCTGATCGCTAGTTTAAAACTTCGCAAACATTTAATTTCCGCCATTTTGGTTTTGAAAAAACTTACAGTAAATCTGTTTTTCTGATTAGATTAGAGTAATCCTTACAGCGCTCCCACTTGGATACAATTGTACCCGTTTGGATACATTATTGCTTTAAATTTAGCGTGTATACAAAGATACTTAAATCTGCTAAAATGTCACAATCGGCTTCATTTGAAAATTTTGTTGAGGTTTTCTCAAATTCTAAATAAATATTACAAACTGTCAATATTAAACTGCGGAATTGCTTCATTTTCTAAAAAAGAAATGTTTTTTGCTGGCTTTACTAAACAGATTTTCAAATTTGTAGGTAAGAAAGTGAGAAAGATACTATATTGAATGGATTAAATGACTGCAACCCTTCTTGAGTTCAAATTAAGAACTTCTAGACAGGAACATGGCAGATACCAGAAGCATATCAATGTGAGTTGTGCAGAAAATGCATTGACTGCACATATTTCTTAAAATTTATCCGTTTTCATTGTGAATCGCTTTTACCACATAGTCCAGCAGCTAGAGAAAGTATATTTTCTGACCCTATTGACCTTTAGAAATAAAATGCAATAGAAGTCTGTTTCTTAAAGAATTTATTATAAATAATAAACCTCACAATGCAGAATAAAACCAATTAATATTAATTATGGGTTAATTTGTATCTCATTTGTTATGGGTTAATGTGTATCTGACCATTGGTGCAGTGGTTATTGCACCGGTCCTTTAACCGAAGGGTCTCGGGTTCAAACCCCGGTCAGGTCACTATAAAAATTATATTCAATATTATTATAACTTAATATGCAATACTAATAAATATTATACAAGTAATTTTCAAATATTCGTAATATTCCATATTAAAAAAAAAAAACTAAGAAAAATAAACAGTAAATATTAATAACCTCAAATAATTAATATAAATAAAACTACGGCAGATTAGTCACCTACCTAGTTAAACTCTATGACGCTATGAAACTAGTGCATGAGAAATCGTGCACTAGCCCTATGCTCCTTCTAGGAGTGAATAAGGAAAAAAAAAAAAATGGGTTAATTTGTACAAAATAAGAGAACTTAATATAATAATTTTACTTTGCGAGGCTGGATACATTTGGATACATTTTGTTTTTAACGAGTGGGAATACTAAATCTTTCTTATTTAATGTCAGACAAAATCTAATGTCTAACAGGGTTTACATATGGAACTTAAATTACAATGAATTAGAAATACTAAAGAAAAGAGCATCTTTGTTTCCATTTCTCTTGTACTAGCTAAAAAATCGTATCTTGAAAAAAAAAAAAACACAGTAAACCTAATACTTCAGATCAGTTTCGTTCTTTGTTTCAAAAAATGTCATTTTTTATTTTTTTTAAACTAAATATAATTGAATTTAATAAATTATAAGTCAAAGGCTCGGAACATGTTATCTATCTGATGATTTATTGAAAATCTGTTTAAAATTTAACTTTTAACTGAACTTTACTTTATTTTTAAGGTTAAATTAAAAATATACCACACATTTTAATATTAGAATAAAACATGAAATAAAATTTTCAAATAAAACTAATAATGTAAAAATTTATGTATTTACAGCTGCTTCTAATGCGGTTTAGCAAAATTAAAGCTTTTCTTAAACCAGATCTACAATATTACATTGTTCAAAATATTACGTGTAAAACTTCAAACTGTGACATAAAAAAAGTACTTACTTATGACAAAACAGATAGCTAAAATCTTTTTGAAATGTTTAGTGAAATAAATAAACTCACAAAGTAAAACTAGCATTAAGTTTATTTTATACGCTCGCATGTTAGATACAAATAAGTTTATTAAATTTTCTCATCAATCTTATTTTTATATGCATTACATATAAAATGCTACGCTGTAAATGATTTTGGGTTGACGCGCCGGTATTGCGGTAATTTTGATTCACCACTCTGTACATTTTTCTTATATGAGATATTTTTTTATCTCAGAAAGCTAATATGAAAGTAAATATGAATGAAAATGGGGAAATTATGTAGTTTAATATTCATATAAAATAAAACTTTTTGTAA